CATTCTGGGAATACCCAAAAGGTAAAAACCAATTTCCTTCCAACAGATGAGTGCATAAACCAATTATGGGATATACATCCAGTGGAATTTTACTCATCACAAAAATGAGGTCCCAAGAGAGGCTGTGTGAAAGCCCTTCCACCGTCCTGCTAAATTCCAGACAGCATGCAAAGTCACGAATCTTAATGCTACTAAAAAATAGGAAGAGGAACAAAGAACTGGCTGAGAATTGCCAGTAAAGGAGTATGAAGAACAAGACCATTTAACAAGGTGTTCTATTTCAGGATGAGGGTCTATCTTAGAACTAGTTTGGGGTGGCTTTTGGTATTGATTATGCAAAACTGTTCACTTTAAAAATCAGCATTTTGTCATGTGATTTTAAACTGCATTTCCAAAACTGGAATGGAATTTATAAACCAGAAGGCATGCCAGGGGCTGGAGTGATAGCACAGCAGGTAGGGCATCTGCCTTGCACACGGCCAACCCGGGTTCGAGTCCCAGCATCCCATATGGTCCCTTGAGCACTGCCAGGAGTGATACCTGAGTGCATGAGCCAGGAGTAGCCCCTGTGCATCGCCAGGTGTGACCACGCCACAAAAAAAAGACAAAAAAACAAAACACCATAAGGCATGCCAGGAAAAAAAGCCCAGTTGAAAGTGGTTACCCAAGAGTGATAGTACAGCAGGTAGGGTGTTTTTGCCTTGCTTGCAGTCAATCCGGGTTCAATCCTCAGCATCCCATATGGTTCCCTGAGCACCACCAGGAGTGATTCCTGAGTGCAGGGCCAGGAGTAACCCCTGAGCATTATAGGATGTGACCTATAATACGATGAGTCATTAAAAAGAAAAGTGGTTGCCTTTGTCTGGGATAATAGTCTGTAGGATGCTTGTAGTCACCCAGGTTCGATCCCTGGCATTACATGTGGTCCCGAGCACTAGTTCTGGGTAACGCCCTCAACCCATCCCAGAAATAAGTGGGACTTTATGTTCCCATGGATAAACTGTCTGAGCTGTGTTGGCCACACCTGACCGTGTTTGGTGACCAGGGGGGGTATACTACACTAGGGAGCAAAGCCAGTTTTTCTGCATGCAAAGCAAACAGGCAGTAAGGAAAATCTTCCCATTCCAGGTGCTTGCAACAGGGAGCCCTGACTAGCTGCACAGTTAAGATGTGATTCTTTTTCTTACTTTTACAATAAGATTCCAACTGAACATCAGGCACTTAGTTGACCCTCGTTCAACCCCTAGCACCCAGTATGGTCCCCTGAGCATGGCCAGGATTGACCCCTGGGCACTGAGCACTACCAAGTGGGACCCCCAAACCAAAAATAAACTATCATAGGGGCCAGGGATGGCTCACTGGCAAAGCAGCTACCCTGCAAGCATGGTGCAATCTGGAGACCATAAGTCTGAGTCTGCCTCTGGGTCTCCTGCTGCCAAGCACATGCACTGGGAAGCATGACCCCTGGAGAGTAACTAATGGGAACACTAAAGGGAGGAAGCGGTCCAATAACTGTCACTGCAACAAAGGCCCGGAGCACAGAGCCAGGCATGTGCGTGGCACTTAAGCAGAGACATGTACCTGGTGGTTCCAGCATTGACCAGCAACAGGCACTGCAGTGCTGGGCCAAGCACTGATCATTGTCAAGGGCCACAGAGCCAGTGAGAATCACTTGGGAGACGCCCTCTAACCACTGTGGGGGCCTACTTCAAAGACCATATCATCTTTTTGGTAGTGGGCATTAAGTGTGGTCTCATCATAGGCCTAAAATATATAAATAGCAAGAGGGCATAGTTTAAAGTGCTTAAGCACATACTTTGCACACAGGGTTCCTGGTTCGATCAATATCCAGCACTACCCAGCACTAGCCTATTTCAAGTATGCCCTGGAGTGATCCTAAGATCCTGAGAACTGCTGGGTGTGCTGCCCGCCTCCCCGCCCCAGTGAAGAAATGTTTGGAGGACAAAAGATTATAGCATACAAAAAAAAAAGAGAAGAAAATTACAACTATAGATGACCGTATCAGTAAATTTCTAACTTAATGACAAATACTATGAACAAGAAAATCTGGACTGTATTTATCAGGAAGACTATATGTGAAGGTCCAAGCCACACAATGACGTTCTTAAGAACCATGCCAGATGTCGAAAGTAGACTATGGACTGAACATGTTTGCCACTCAATGCCTCTTTTGCAGACCACAACACCCAAAAGGAGAGAGACAACACAGGGGATTGCCCTGCCACAGAGACAGGGGGGATGGGGGGATGGGGGTGGGAGGGATATTATCCATGGTGGTGGAAAATGGGCACTGGTGGAGGGATGGGTATCTGATCATTGTATAATTGAAACCAAAGCACAAAAAATTGTAAATCTACAACTTTAAAAAAAAATAAAATAAAATAAAGGGAAAAAAAATGTAAAAAAAAAAAAAGAACCATGCCAGATACTGCACAACAGAGGAAGAAAAACGAGTGAGAAATGGAGCAGGATGGCTCTGGAAAGAAAGATAGCAGCCGCTTGGGAGCCTTGCGGAAAGCCAGGTATGAGCCAGCGGTGACGGGGCGACTAAAACAAAACCTCATGGGAAGGGGGGCGTTCCCAGCTCGTCCTTCACGGCCACCAGTTGCCCCCCACGAGCGGCTCACCAGCACGGCCATGGCTCCAGAGCACAGAAACCAATCTCTTAATTATCTGACTCTCAGTAGAAATACTTCCAGGGTTAATAAGTAAAATAGCAGAAATCCAAAACCGCACGGCCGACATCATTTAATTCTTGAACCCAGTCGGAGAAAGCAAATCATTTCACAACGCTTTTTCAGCATGTCTGATTGGGGGGGGGGGGGGTAAACACTAAATAATAATGGTACATCTTTTATCGAAACAATGAATCTAGTCAAAGTAGATAGTGTTAACTAGAATTCATCTGCCTCACAGGCATTGGGAGGGGTGGGGGTGGGGTTTTATTGGGGTTCTTCATGGTGAAAAGTAAGTATTGGTAAAGGGAAATGTGTTTGATATTTGCATGACCGAGACCTAAACCTGAAAGCTTTTTAACTTTTCTCACAGCGATTCAATAAATAAATAAGGTAAAGGCCCTCCCGTTGTTCATCGATTTGCTCGAGCGGGCCCAGTAACGTCTCCATTGGAGACTTTGTTGTTACTGTGTCTGGCATATCGAATACGTCATGGGGAGCTTGCCAGGCTCTGCCGTGCGGGCGAGATACTCTTGGTAGCTTGCCGGGCTCTCCGAGAGGGGCGGAGGAATCGAACTCGGGTCAGCCATGTTGGCTGTTATTTAAAAAAAAAAAATGGAGCAGGATGTGATTAGCTAAACCTAAGATTAATCAAATAGAAAATTACCTTTTTTTTTCAATGAAGATACTAAAATAAGCTCTGGCCGGTACCGGATGTGGACGCAGGACCCTGTTCAGGCCAGGCTTGAGCCCCACCCTTCTGGACCATCACCCCAACCTCTCACATATATTGGCCAAAAACAACAACAAAAAAGCCAAACATATTTATATGTTTATCACCCATAGGCTTTTCAGAGTGGAGGAGAAAAAACACAGAACAAGTTTCTAGTTAAACAATGATTTTATTGCTTGAATACACAATTTATGCGACCAAGGCAGAGGCTGTTGATGATTCGCTGAAAACGAAAATAGGGAGATAGGAAAATCTGGATTAGCACAAGTTGTACATACTAACAGTTATTTCCAAACAACCATTAACAAACCCCTGTTCTTCACTGTGCTCACTCAGACATCCAAGGAAGACCTGGCCGACATAAGGTAAAACCTTTCCGGTGGAAACTGCGAATGTTTGGAAATCAATCATCATAGTGAGCAATCAATGTAAAACTAAGACTGACAAAACACCTGGGACTAAATGCACAAGTCGAACCTTTAATAAGGATTTGTTCTAATTTTAAAACAGGGTCCTGTAAAATATAGCCTTTTGCCGATTTTAAAGAAAAATTTCTACAGAGCCCAACCATACCTGTTCCCATCACTATATTACTTCCATTAATTAGTAATAAAAGATACTTACTATTTCCAATTGGGGGGGAGGACTCGTTTGGTCTTGTAATAGCGGGCCAAACGGTGAATACGACTCTCAATGAGAATCAGACGGAATTTAGCATCTTTATCCTAGAAACAAGAGAAGACAACTCAAGAAAACCATTCAAAACAATTCAAGCGAATGATTAAGACACTGCATTTTCGGGGTTTTTTCTTTTTTGGCTCGAGGAGGTATGCTCGGTTGAACACAAGGGATCAAACCCAAGTTAGCTACACGCAAGGTAAGCGCCCTACACAAGTCACTCTCTCTCCAGCTCCACTTTCAGGGAACCAGAAACTAGATTAAGTTGAGGGAATTTACGTTTACCACAATTTGAACCATTTGCAAAACTACAGTGTAAGAGTTGGAAGAAAAAGCATAGGGGTACAGGTGCTTGCCCTAGACATGGCTGACCCTCCCCATACCCAAAACCGCACATAAACTCAACATTTCTAACCAAGGAGTATTATATAAACCACTTGGGTATGGGTCGTAAAAGAAAATTTGCTTCAAAGGTTATCAATTACTGATTCATACAGCTCTTATCTTACAGGCAAAAACCCACAGAGTACTAAAGTCAGATTCTATTTTACTGACCTAGAAGATAGTACAACAATGTGTTTCTCTTACCTTTCTGTTCCTCTCAAGATGCTTCCGAACAGCAACAGCTTTCTTAATTAGGTGGTAGAGATCCTCAGGAAGATCAGGGGCAAGTCCTTTAGACTTAAGGATTCTGAGGATCTTATTGCCGGTCACAAAGCGCACTTGGGCGACGCCATGGGAGTCTCTCAGGATGACACCTGCAAAGGCCACGGTGTGTTAACCCCCACAAACGAACCCCATGAACTGAAACACGGTGATGTGTGCACCTCCCGTTAAGAAAAAAAAAGCTCTTTTTATACATCACAGAAAGCAAAGGGGCCGGCAGGCAAAGCTCACTCAGACATCCAAGGAAGGTTTGCCATCACCAAGGAAAACCCTTCTGGTGGAAACTGCGAATGGAGGATACCATATCATCACAGTGAGCCTGCGGCAGAGACAAGCCCCTGGGCGTGCCTATTTGCCAGTTACCACTTAATTTTTACCCAGAATGTGTGCCAGGCATTTCACCAAACAGCTCTGCCTAAAGCCCCACCCCACCCGCAATATTACAGCAGCTACCAAATTTCCTCTTGTGCTCAGCCCCTCCCAGGCTGACAAAAAGCTTGGGGAAGGGCCTACTGTATGCCCCGGGGCAGAGCCACACAAGCAGGGAAACTGGCCCTGCACCAAGGAAGCAGGTCCATCTGCTTCCATCCGCCCAGGGGGCCACATTGTAACTAACGGAGAGGGATGGGGGGCAAGCTGCCAACCCCAAATCCCATCCCGGCGCCTCCACTTCCTCAACGGGATCTGGGGGCAGTTCATTTCGTTGGTTTCATTGGAAGCCTTTGCACCCCTCACGGCGATGCCCAGCACATACCCCCGGGCATGGGCGACGCCGCACGGTCCCCGCGAGCGAGTGCAACTCTCGCCCGCTTCTAACCATTGCTAAGAACTGCTCTGCGAACCCCACTCAACTGGAACCCAGGGCTCGGGCCGACCTGGGAGTTCCCCCGGCTCCGGGCGGGCACTTAAGCATTTTTTTTTTGGGGGGGGGAGTCACACCAAGCAATGCTCAGGGGTTACTCTATGGGTTACCCTATGGGATGGCGGGGATTGAAGCCGGGTCGGCCACGTGCCAGGCAAACGCCCTCCCGCTGGGCTATCGCTGCGCTTTTTCCTCCCCCTGCCCCCCATCAGCTCTTTTACCTCCTTACAAGCCCTGGTGGGGAGGGCGTCTGCCCGGCACGCGGCCGACCCGGGTTCGATTTCCCCGGGCGACTCACCGATCTGGGACGGCGTCAGGCCCTTCTTGGCCAGCTTGTAGATCTGCTCCTTCACGTCGTCGGACGTGAGCTTCAGCCACTGCGGGTGCAAAAAGGGGCGGCCGTGAGCAGAGGCGGGTCCGGCCCCGGCGCCCCCCGACCCCCCGGCCCGCGCGCGATACTCACGGTCGGGACGCTGCGGCGATAGGGCAGAGCCGACTGGGACAGGCCCTTCCTGGAGAGGGAGAGAGACAGGGGAGCTCGGGATGAGCGGGGCGCGCTACACACGCGGCCTCCCCCCACCTGGGGCCCGCAGCCCGCGCCCCACCGAGCCGACTCACCCGGGAGCGTGCATGCGACCCATGATGGCGGCGGAAAGACCGGAGCGTGCGGCCGCCGCAGGAAGCCACCGGACAGGCCGGAAGTGACGCTACGCGCAGGGACGCCGCGCGCCCGCGCCGCCGCCGCGAGACTACGTTCGCCCGGAGCGCAGGTGACGTCACTTCCGGATCCCAAGTACCAGCCTTCGGATTGGACTGCGCGGCCTGCGCGGATAGCGGAGGCTTTTCCGGTACAGCCGGAGCTTATTTGTACTTGTTCCTCCCCCCACCCCTGCAATATAGACGGCCCAGGTCGTCCACTCGCAAGGCATGAGCACTACCATCTGAGCTTGTTTATTTATTTATTTATTTTTGGTTTTTGGGTCACACCCGGCGATGCACAGGGGTTCCTCCTGGCTCTGCACTCAGGAATTACCCCTAGCGATGCTCTGGGGACTATATGGGATGCTGGGAATTGAACCGGGGTAGGCCGTGTGCAAGGCAAACGCCCTACCCACTGTGCTATAGTTCTAGTCCCTACTTACGTATTTTTAAAAGTAAAACATTTTATTTGGAGGTTTTTGAAGGGGAGGAGGAAGAGAGAAGTGGGAGAGAATGGAAAGTAAGGCGCTCCAAGAGAGAATCGTGGACTTCTCCAAAGGCGGAGAGAGCCCCTACACCCACCCCAGCATCGGATATGGATGCATGAAAGTACATGTCTCAAGAGGGGAGATGTGGGAGACGCTTATGCTTGGCCACGTGGGCACAAGCAGCATATGGGCTCAGGCAGCTTACGCGCCTACATATATTTATTTTTATTAAACCACTTGGAGATGCACAGTTACAAAGTTATTCATGATTGAGCTTCCATCAGTGTTCCAACACCAGTGTGCATTTCCCACGATCAAAATTCCCAGTTGCCCTCCTGCCATCCCAGCTCCCAAATCCCCAAGCCCGAAGTCTGCCTTTATGGCAGGATGGTGCGCTCGAGCTCTCGCGCTCTCTCTCTCTCTCTCTCCCTCCCCCTCCTTTCTCTCCCTCCCTCACGCACTCTCTCCCCCCAGATTGTGTCTCTCTCCCTCCCCCTCCTTTCTCTCCCTCCCTCACGCACTCTCTCTCACCCCCCCAGATTCTGTCACCTGTCATTGTCATTGTGGGCCACAAAGGGCCTGAAATTTAGTCTGCCTGCAAGGGTGATGGAGGACTTTCTGCAAGCCCAGGGACATCATCTAGATGTCCACGATTCTCTCTTGGAGGATTCTCTCTTGGAGCGCCTTACTTTCCATTCTCCCCCACTTCTCTCTTCCTCCTCCCCTTCATCATCACCTTGAAATCCTGGACTGGGAGTGGCAAGGAAGCCCATAAAATAGCTGGGTTGCTGGTTATTATCTTTCTGCCCCACTACCCAGCAAATCTCAACCTTCTTCTGTGATTCCCCTTCTGATTTTGTGACCTCCCGTCCTACCAGTGGGCCCCACGTCAACTCATACAATGATTCCCATGTATGCAGTTTTCGTCTATGACCCCTTGCACCGGAGGCTGTATGGCTCCTGCTTGAGAAATACTGGATTACATGCTTTAAAAAGTAATGAGATGGAAAGAAAACGTAACAAATTATTTAAAACTGAAGAAACGGGGATCAGATAGAATATGTAGAGGGTAAGATACTTGCTTTGCTTGTGGCCGACTCCAGTTTGATCCCTGGCACTACATATGATCCCTGAAGCCATTCCAGAGATCATTTGGAGCCCGGAATAGCCACTGAGCATCACTTGGTCCTCCACAAAACCCTTCAGTTATTGACCCATGAAGAATCGTAAGTCAACAGTCGAAAAGAGCACTTGCCTTACAGGCAGCCGACCGAGGTTTAATCCCTGGAATCTCACATAGTCCCCTGCACCCTGCCAGGAGTGATCCCTGAGCAGAGCCCAAAGCCCTAGTACTGCCAGGTGTGGCCCCAAAATTTAAAAAATTAATCTTGAGAGCTGTGTGGAAAACAGGGGACACTAGTGCATGGAAATGTGAAGTGAAGGGATGTGTTGGAACACTGTATGACTGAAACTCAATCATGAACAACTTTGCAACTGTATCTCATGGTGATTTGATAAAAGAAAAAAATCTTAAAATGGAGGGTCAGGGATGTGGCTTGGTGGTGATGTGCATGCTTTGCTTGTGTGAGGGAGGCTGTGAGTTCAATCACTACCATCTAATTATATTTATTTATTTGGGGCTGGGGAGATGGCTCAGAGGGTTGGAGGGCATGTGGTACCAGGGTAAAACCCCTGGTACCACTAGTTCCTAGCAGTGCCGAAACCAAACAGAACCCCCCCACCACCAAAAAAAAAAAAAAAAAAAGAGAAAGTGTTTCAAGTAAACGTTTTATTTCCTCTCATAGAAACAGTTACGATGCCGGCTCTGATTACGTTACTGGTCTTTCATGGTCCCTGGTCCCTATTACTTGTTATCAGTAAGGTCATAACTGATGTCATTATAGAATGGATATATGGTTTTAGAAGAATCTACATTTCTCTGATATGTACTTTGCCTACAACATGGTTATTATATATAATAATTTAATATTTAACTACCAAATTATTAGTACCAAATATTACTAACATAACTACCAAAATATTCAATACTTAACTACCAAAATATTAAATATAAACCAAAATAAAAGTTAACCACCAAAATATTATATATAATTTAATAGTTAAGTTCACTAATACGCTCATAAAAGCATTTCGTGTCTATGAAATGGTGATGGAATTAAAAGTGGCAAACAGACCTTCAAAGAACTATACTTAGAAGTCAGATAATCTGCTTGAGTATTTTTAAGAACTGACAGACCAGACCTGAAATTTGGGTTCAAATGATTTTGGGGAGGGCAGGGCACACCCAGTGGTGCTCAGAGCTTATTCATGGCTCTGTACTCAGCTGACGATAACTCCTGAAGGGCTTAGGGAACAATATGGGGGTAGTTGGGGATCAAACCTGGGTAGGCCATATGCAAGGAAAGCACCCTACCCACCTTATCTCAAGTTTGGATATTTGAAATTTGGACCATTTGAACGCAATAAACTCCTGGTAAGATGCAAAGAAAAGCAATAGTTAACTCATAGCAAAGCTTGGAACCAAAAATGTTAAAACACTGACAATGAAAAAAATTAGAGCAGAATTCATTTATTCCAGAAATATTTTAATACAATTGTAGTATAGTTACGAAGTCACATTCAAACCACTGAATATATTCAAGGTATTAATAAAAATAATTATACATCTTTTCTCACTACCTTAATATAAAGTATTTGGTTCTTAGAGATGAGACTAACTGCCATATTCATTCATATTTGCACAGATATTAAAAAAATCTTTAACTATGGATTAAGGTAGTGCGGCTTTAGTCCCTTTTGATCTTAAGTGTTAGCTATCAAAATTTAGTGTTTTCTCTTTTTAATGCCACATACTTGAATTTTAGAAGAGTCAGCCAATTTAAGGCAAGATTTTGTATTTTTTACATAACTAGTTTGAGAAGATAAAACAATACTTCATCAAAATCATATATATGCCTCAACATTTAGACAACTATAGATTCATACAAAGGCAGTAATAAAAAAATGTCAGTTTAAGTTCTATTTTGGTTTCCTCAGTAGGGAAAACAATAGCTCTTGGAGTAAATCTTTATTTTCAAATCCCAAAATACCGGCAAGAGGAAAGTATTCTGCCACATGCTGCATAATTATTTTTATTCAATAAAGGTATAAAACACTGTGATTAAACAAAAACTTTGTTTGGGCCATTTTAAAATTGTTTCAGATTTACTTTAATGCAAAATTTTTAATGTTTTTAAAAACAGCTGACTTAAAAATCTATTGATAGTAGTAGTGCAAAGAGGCTCCTGTGTCCCTTTTTTGGTTTTTGGTCAGGGCTGAAGATTAGTATTTCAAAGAAATAACTTATATTATTAAAATATATGTAAAATATGTGCAAGTATATATTTTAATAACCAAAGAAGGCACAAAATGAGTTAAATTAAGAAAAAACAGTATCACTTGTTATGAACTCTGGTTAACTGTACAGTATTAATCATAATATACACGTTTAAGGATTTTGATTTCTTTTCACTGAAAGTGACATTTTTCTAATTATTTGTACTACAAGACATGCCTGTAACAGACTGCGAATAGGCAGTATGCCTCCAGTCTCATTAACAATGACCTTTTACCAAGAACTGTCTTGCTTTCCTATTTTATACCTATTTTTTTTTACAGTGGCTAAGTGACAACTTATGGAATGGAATTAGGTTTGAAATCTTAGGTAAAAAAAACCAACTAGTATTCTTTACATTTGCAAAGCTACTTACACACTTTAAGGAAATGTTAACTGTAAAAAGCAAATAAATGGTGGTACTTTGATTTGCATTTTAATTAACTTATTAAATAGACAACACATTTAACATTAAAAATAAAAGACATTCATGTATCATACTCACAGGGTCTTCTACAAATGGACCATTAGTGTTAGGCACCAAAAATTTCAAGTTTTTTTTTTTTTCCTTTTAACCTGTCTCATAGATACCTCCTCAACTCTTATTTCTGCTCTGTGGGCTATCACCATTTAAATATTTGCACAGTTCATAAAAGTTCTGTTTAAGCAACAGAACTGGAGATTGTCCTTTCTCCCCTGCTACTCATCTTTGCCTGTTTTGTCAGTTTATCTCCCAAAAACTAGATCTCCATGATCTGTATTACTACTGAAAGACGGTCTGACTTTTAGGAGCGCGGAGATAGCTCACAGGGCTCGTGTGCATGCTAAGCACGCTGGAGGCTCGAGCTTGATCCCCGGCACTGCATCCCGAGCATGGTGGGGAGCAACTCCTGAGCACCGTGTCAGAAGTAGCCCCTGAGCACCGCTGGGTGTGGCCCAAAACACCAAAACCAAACAAACAAAAAAAATGTGTGGCTTTCTAGTCTAACCACAAGAATTAATATTATATCTACATGTTTATCCAATAGGAACACAAACCTGTATAAAGTAACCAAAAAATAAAAGAATCTCATTAATGGTTAGCATAATTTCAATAATGTCCTTTATGATTCTGAATCCCATTACATTAAGAAATTCATATAAATGCACAATATTTAACAAATGCAAGTAAGAGAGTTTACAAGACAACTTTACCAAAAATCCTACATTAAAACTCCTTCTGGACCCTAGAATTTTTATTCTAGGTCTCTTATGAAGCTGCCTTACTCATAGTGTTTTTCCTTGCAAATAGGAATGGGCACGTGGATCAACAATTTTCACATATTGAGTGAGAGTGGAATACAAATATATGGAGGTGAAACCATCAAACTCACACTCCTGGAAAAAAAAACGTAGAATTACAATGGAATGGTGAAATTTAGTGTACAGCCACATCAGTGGATCTCATTCAATTACTGAGTAACAAAAAATATATATATAAATAGGTGATTGTTTAAATAATGAAATCATACATCAGAAATAGAGAAACTGATCTTTCTGAAAGAAAAGCATCAGTAAATATTTATAGAGTTTCTTGGTTTTGTAAGTTGACATTAAGTGAAAACTACTTTCTAATGATTAAGTCAAGGAAAAAAATCAGACTGAAGTGCCAAGGAACTCTAAGAAGTTAAGGCACCAATATTTACAACTTCAGTGATTGGCACTTCTTCTGAAAAAGGCTTTAAAGACATGAATAAAAAGCAGTATTATTTTTCCCTAACTTCTATGAACTACTTAGTAGTTTTTAGCAGTCAGTCTACTACTTGTGCTTTTGCTCTCCAGCCCTGTGAATAGCAGCTGTATTTTCTGGTAACAACCTGCACCTTCTTTCCTTTGGTGTTCGCAAACATATACAGTGGTGAAGGTTGTGAAAGGTGAACAGGGAAATAAACGTGCTTTGTCTTGATGAAACAATGCAAAATAGATGGTATACCTGACAGTAACATCAGACCAAACTAAAGCTATTTTTCTTGTTAAAGAAATGATTAAATTCTTCACCAACTCAAGGTCTTTCCAGGACTTATATATTATATAAGTATAGGATTTACAGCATTCTACATATTGATTTTTAAAACAGAACAGCAATGGTTTTAAAACAGAACAAATGAATCAATCAAAGTTATGTGACTGTTGGTCCAACAGATGTACTGAAATGCAGCAAGTACTTTTACTTTATGGTTTCTGTCCAAGTATAAAAATACTATACAAAGTTCACAAGTATCCATATGTGCACATGGTTATAACTGTTCTTGCTTCCAAAGCCCAGAAATTCACTAGCTTATAAATATGTTGCTGCTGCCAGCTGATACCACTTCACCGTTTCTTTGCTCAGATTGAAATCTTTCAAAGGCAGTGTTATTCCACCCAAGAAGAAATTCTCTCGCAGAGATTCCGCACTGAGTACACTTAGTTGAAGTTCTCTCTGTCTTAGAGTTTCTTTACTGTATCCACTGTACACAAGCTGGAGTGAAGAAAAAGAAAAAGGTACAAATTATTTGATTTCTTATATAGGTAAAAAAAAAAAGTCCAAAGGTCACTCTAATTAAAGACACCAATTATGATACATCTAGTGAATTTGTCTCATATTTTATTATTTTAGTAATACTGACGTTATTCCTCTTAATTTGATATAGGAATGCACAGAATAGAAAATGACGGGCTAAAAAGTAAAAACAATTTCCAGTGAGATGGAGGCATAGGGAAGTGATCCAGTATTACATGGCAGTACCCTAAGATGACCTAGGGACTGGGGAACAGAACCTGGGGAAAAGTAAGCTAGACAGCATAATCTCTAACTAAAAATAAGATGAAAATTTCCTTTTGTTATCTGCACTTTGTTGGATTTTATATGCCAGGAGGCGGTAATTTCTGATTATCCACAATTAAATGCAAACACAAACTACCAGGGCTGTTTACAACATCTGGAGTGTTAAAAACCAGATAATCTCTTTCAGATACACCACATCCAAAACTTGATTTGAGGCCACACCCAGAGGTGCTCATAGGTTACTCCCAGTGGCACTAGGAGGACAATGCAGTGTCAGGGATCAACTGGGTAGCCTGGATGCAAAATATGCCCTCATCCTTTTGAATGATCTCTTTAAGACCACACACCTTTTTCATTTTTCTTCTCTCTCTCTCTCTCTTTTTTTTTTAAAGAAAGCCATATTTGGCCATGGAGAGGGCTCAAAGGGCTGGAGCACATGTGCTATGTGCAAGAACCCCATATTCTGTTGCCAATACCACATGCTCCCTCATGCATGAAGTTGGAAGTAGCTGTTCTCCACTAATTCTGCATGAGGCTCTGGCACAAGAGCTGGCACCACAAAATAATAAAGTAACATTCATCTCTGATTTTGGGTGAGGTATGTGACTCATTGGTAAAGTGCATGTCCAGTACTTTGGCCCCTGGGCCCCATCAAAAACTGTTTTTTGTTTGTTTGTTTTGGCTTTTTGGGTCATGCCCAGTGATGTTCAGGGGTCACTCCTGGCTCTGCACTCAGGAATTACTCCTGGTGGTACTCGGTGGACCAGACAGGGATGCCAGGGATTGAACCCGGGCTGGTCATGTGCAAGGCAAACATCCTACCTACTGTACTATTGCTCCGATCCCAAGCCCGTCTGTTTTAAGAACAAAAAAGTTCCTACATTTAGTTTCTTCAAAAGCTTCAATAATACTTTTGGGAATAATAGCAGTTCATTATCAATGAAAATTTCACATGCCTGTAAAGTTATGAAGAAATCTTTTTTGATTTTGTTTGGGATTATACCTAGTGGTGCTTGGGGCTACTCCTGACTTATAGCTTAGGGGCTGCTATCAGCAGTTCTTGGGAAACCAAGTGGTGCTGGGGATCAAACCAGTCTTCCCCCTATGCAAAGTATGTCCAGTCTTTTCAGCTAGAGCCCTGACCTGATATTTTTTCATTTTATTAAGTTTATAGTTGACCAGGTGTAGCAGGAGCACAGTTCTGCTTTAATTGTTCAATCTGATCTTTACTGCTGCCAGTTCAAGATATATTGTTTTAAGAGATATGCTGACAGACTAAAACAAATTTGGGAAGGATTTTAAAACGACAATCTAGGCAACGAAAGTAAAGGTAATGATAATGTGTTTTTGTCTGTTTGCTTTGGGGCTTGGGAGAAATAAGTGGCAACGTCTCAGGTCTATCTCTGCTCTACGCTCAGGAATGACCCCTGCACTATCTCTCAGAGCCTTCATAATGTTTTTGTTTTTATTTAAAAATTTTCTATTTGCTTTACTTATTTATTTTAATTGAATCACTATGAGATACGGTTACGAAGTTGCTCATGATTGGGTTTCAGTCATACAGTGTTCCAAAAGCTGTCCTCTCTCGGGTGTACACCTGTTGTACACCCAGTCCCCAGTTTCCTTCCTGCCACTGCCCACTTCCCAGCCTGCCTCTATGGTAACGTTCTTAAAGAATAAACAGAAGGGCATCTGAACTTCAGTCATTTGGAGGGTGCCTTGTAGAAAGAGAAAATGAATAATTTTCTATGGTTCTATGATAAACAATTGAAACCCGCTGTAGGTGCAAACTACAGAGCAGGAAGAATTCAACTGAGTATAAAACAGAATCTAAGGAAGCTGCTGAGGAGAAACTGTATTACCTGGAAACATTTCAGCTTAGACAGATTACATACACTTTCTGAAGATAATGTACAGGGGGTTAAACACTGAAAGAGTAACTAAATCATGGCTCCAGGGCTGAGTGCATGTTTTATATTTGAGAGTCCTGGATTTAATCTGTGGTATTAATCACAGAGTCCTCTGAACACTGCCAGGTTTGACTCCTGCCCCACCCCCACAAAAAAATCAAAAACAAGAAGGAAGGAAGGGAGGGAGGGAGGGAGGGAAGAGGGAAAGAAAGGAGTTGGAGAGACATTACAGAGGGTAGGGTGCTTGCATTGCACACAGCTGACCCAATTCGATCCCCAGCACCCCAATATGGTTCACTGACTAATTCCTGAGTGGAAAACCAGGACTTACCCCTGAGCATTGCTGTCTGTGGCCCACAAAGCAAAAACCAAACACAAAAGAAATAAATGAAAATGAAAACTGAGCATCTTACAGGTAATGATTCAATTCTGTATCATTTGGCTAAATACCATGGAGTGGCTACTGATTTGCTCTATTAGTTTATTAATTAGTTCTTAAGTACAAAGACATTTAAACATACAACATTTAATGTATAAAACATTTAAAATCTCAAAATGACAAATCCAGGACATTTTTAGGATTTTAACATACCATCTCATTGAATGTTGGGTTCCGAGTCTTTCGTGAAATTTTGGTTTTACGTTTGGACGTTTTATGGGGATCTGGAAGCAGGTATGTTTTGACGTATGGATTTGGGTCAGCGCCATCTTCAGTAACCTATAAAGAAAAGCAGTCCCTTAACAGCAATGCTTCCTACCAAGGTAAGCCTTTCCTCTATAATCATCACTATTTGTAATCACTCACAAGATCTTTGATGTGCATCACCATGATGAAAAGAGTGTTATTTCGGTAAGAGACAGATAATTTCACTGCTCCTCCTATCTGGCCTGGAGTAGGACTGAAGAGCCCTGCACCTGAAACAGAAATAGATCCAGCTGTATTTTAACTTGCTTGCAAGAAAAGAATTTAGCTTTAGGGGCAGGAGAGACAGTGCAGCAGGCAGGGAACTTACCTTGCAAGCGGCTGACCCAGGTTTGATCCCTGGCACCCCATATAGTACCCCACACCCAACCAATAGTAATCCCTGAGTGCAGAGCCAGGACTAAACCCTGAGCACCACTAGGTGTGCTCCCCCCCTCCCGCCTCCGCAACTCCCCTCCCTCAAAAAAAGAATTTAGCTTTAATTCCAGGACCATCACATTTGGGGAAAGGAGAAGTAAAGACCCTGGCAAAGATCAATGCTAGAGTCTTACCCTTGTTGTAATAGTAGTGGTGGGAGTCACAGTGAGTAGTGCTCTTAGGGCCATACAGAACAGAAGACCAGGTTTGAACCTAGTCTTTTACAGGCAAACTGTGTGAAGGCATGTGTTCTACCACCTGGGGCCATAGCCTGGCCCCAGATATTAATTCATTAGTAAATTAGAGTAGTACTCTTACTCTATTGGCAAGATTGTTCATCCAGCGAACGATTAGCTTAGAAAGAATACCCACCTCTCATTTTCACTACACTGCAGCCAATAACTCCCCTGCCACTCTACCATATTCACTGGAGATGTCACAGACTTAACTGTCATAAAGAACCCACAAATAATAATAAAGAATAATAACTTAATCTCACCTGCAGATCTAGCTATTCCTTCAGCTTTCTCGTCACGAAGTAAAGGGTGGAAAAAAGTACAAACTAGATCACACTAAAATAGATGGGAGAAAAAAGATTAATTAACTTGAATATTATGTAGCAAAAAAAGAATGTCATTTTTCAGTTAGTCACCTCTGCTACATCTGTTGAGGCACTCATCAAACTCTGCAAATAACTGTTTAACTCAATTTTTCTTTTGGCTGCTACATCTTTTATGTGTGTTCTTCCGAGAACCATCCTATTGGGAAAGCTACAAAAGAAAAAAAGGAAGAAGCATTCATCTCGAAGTATTTATAAAATTAAGCATGACATTTATTTGAAATATACATTTTTATGTGCTTAAAATACAAAAGTGTAGTCTTTTTTTTTTTTTTTTTGCTTTTTGGGTCACACCTGGTGATGCACAGGGGTTACTCCTGGCTCTGCACTCAGGAATACCCCTGGCGGTGCTCAGGGGACCATATGGAATGCTGGGAATCGAACCTGGGTTGGCCTGCCAAAAATCGAACCTGGCAAGGCAAACGCCCTACCCACTGTGCTATTGCTCCAGCCCCCAAGAGTGTAGTCTTAATCCAATACAAAGTGATTCTTTTGGTGATTTCCAAGTACTAGAGAGAAAATAGGTCAAGTATCTTTTTATGAACCTTGTTACAAATTGTACATGATTTTGCTAATTTTTGTCTTTAGTGCTTATTTTATCTTAATTCCTCTAAAGATACATCACACTCACAAACTTACTTTATGGAGATCTAATGGCCCAAAGAACTAATACTTAGGCACAGCTAAATGATGATGTAAATCAAGTGCTGACAGGATAATCTGAGCCTATTTATGTCGGTGGGAATTGAGAAATGTAGACCTCATATAGAAATAAACATTGGTAGTTACACTTTACTGCTGCTTTACTTTTGAAATCTAGTCTAAGAAGAATACAAGCAAACTAGACCCAGGACATCTAGTGGTCATTAGCTACATTAAAAGGAAAGGTTTCCAAAGCTTATCAGATATAAAACTAAGATTTTGAAAAACACTCAATGATGAAGAGCTGGCTCAGCATTTTGTTTTTCAGAGAAGCTCAATATTGTCATAGTAATTAATTTTGACAACAATATAAAATTTGGTTTTTAACAACAGAGACCATGGGGCCAGAGCAATAGTACAGCAGTTAAGGCACTTGCCTTGCACATGGCTGACCGAGTTTAATCCCGGGCACCCAATATGGTCCCCTGAGCCTGCCAAGAGATATCCCTCAGTCCAAAGCCAAGAGTAAGCCTGAGTTCCGCTAGGTGTGCCCTACCCTCCCACGCCAAAAAAGAAAGAAAAAAACAGATCCAAATTATTATCTGTGGTTACTAATTGTGGTAGAGACAACAAATATAAAATTTAAAATAAAATATAAATTTTTAAAAATCCTGTATTTTAAGATCTTGATCATTTGTTGTTTATTTATTCAATACAATTTAATTTTTTTCATGTCTAGTACTTTATTTGGCCCTTGTGATACAAAGCAAAATTAATTCATACATGAACTATAGTCTCTTACTAAATGCGAACAGAAAGCTTTCGACTTACACTTCATAATAAGGATGATTTCCTATAAAATGGATTATTATACAAGGTTGGCAACATACCCTGGAAGCTTCCAGAGAGGGAAAATAATACTGAGCTTATTGTGAAGCTCCTGAAACTCGTCAAATGTCCGGAACACAAACGATGGTTCAAGCTGTCCTTCCCTCAAAATTCGAACCACATAAATCTGAAAGAAAAATAAATTATATCCCAAACACATTAGATTATTATAAATATAAAAGTCTTCTTCCCTGACAAAAAGAAAATTTATAGCTTCGCCATTAAAAGTAAGCCAAGTACTTTTAACTTCACACACACATTTATTTTGCTTTTTTGGTCACATCTGGTGATGCTCATGAATCACTCCTGGTGGTGCTTGGGGGACTATGTGGGATGCCAGGGATCGAAACCTGCTCAGCCACGTGCTAAGCAAGTACCCTCCCCATTGGACTATCGCTCCAGCCCCTATACACACGCCCTACACACATGCGTTTAATCAGCAATAAGAAACAGAAATGGAAGTAATTGTATTTATTTATTTTTGTTTTAGGGCCACACATGGCGATTCTTAGGGCTGCTCTTGGCTCCGCACTAAGCATGCACTCCTGGCGGGTTCAGGGGATCATAAAGGGCGCCTGGGATCGAACCCAGGCGCAATGCATACAAGGAAAGCACCGTAGATGTTGTATTATCACTCCAATCCTGTATTCACAGCACACCTAATGACATTCTTTTTTTTTTTTTTTTGAGTCACACCCGGCAACGCACAGGGACCATTCCTGGCTCTGCACTCAGGAATTACTCCTGGCGATGCTCAGGGGACCACATGGGATGCTGGGAATCAACTCAGGTCGGCTGCGTACAAGGCAAACGCCCTACCCGCTGTGCTATTGCTCCAGCCCCGCCTAACGACATTCTAAGAGTGATCATAACCGCAGTGAGATATGCAAAGACTTAAAAGTGAGTAATTTTATTTTCAGTGGAAAACATAATGACTGTATTCAAACACATAAATTCAGTAATTGCCACTAAACACAAAATAAATGTTAAAGAGCAAGTAAAGAGCAAGCAAAGTTTATGGTGATGGGCTGAGAGAAAACTATTCTTACTAAACGTTTTAAAATTGTAAAATCATAATTCTTCAAGCAGTAAAATAATGATGCAGAAAGTAATCTATATCAATGAAAAACCAGAAATAAATTGAGGTACATTTATAAACTTAGTATATTTATGTGGCATCACAAATCATTGGGATAAAAAATGTAGCACTTGGGGCTGGAGTGATAGCACAGCGGGTAGGGCGTTTCCTTGCATGCGGCCGACCCAGGTTCGATTCCCAGCATCCCATATGGTCCCCCAGGCACTGTCAGGAGTTATTCCTGAGTGCAGAGCCAGGAGTAACCCCTGAGCATCGCCGGGTGTGACCCAAAAAGTAAAAAAAAAAAAAAGTAGCACTGTAGCACTGGCCTCCCGTTGTTCATCGATTTGCTTGAGCGGAAACCAGTAATGTCTCCATTGTGAGACTTGTTGTTACTGTTTTTGGCATACTGAATACGTCATGAGAAGTTTGCCAGGCTTGCTGTGCGGGCTGGATACTCTCGGTAGCATGCTGGGCTTTCTGAGAGGGGCGGATTACTCCTCGTGGGACTTGGGGGACCATATGGGGTACTAAGGATCCAAACGAGGCTGGCTGCATGCAAGGCAAATATTGTTCTATTATACTCCAGCCCCCCAAAATCTATTAATATCAAAAATTTGAAGATGAACAGTACTAGAAAGCACTATCCAAAAAAAAAAAATTAGTACAAAGGTGGAAATTAACAGCAAAAAAAAAATAATATAAAGCTGCTAACAACACAAGAGAACTGATCCACAGTTTGCAGGAGTGGAGTGTAGGGGCTGGAATACAGTACAGCGGATAGGGTGCTTGACTTGCATGCAGCCAACAAGATTCAACCCCCAGCACCACACATGGTCTCCCAAGCACTCCTGGCAGTGTTAGGAGTTAGCACAGAGTTGGGAGTAAGCTCTTGGCACTTCTGGATGTGAACCAAGAACACAAACACTGAAAAATGGAACAAAACAAACTGAATGTGGGAGGGGGAGGGTAAAAGGAAGGGGTACTGGGGTCCTTGGGAAAGGGAGGTGGGAACACTGGTGATGGGTGTGGTACTGTAATTATGTATATGAGAAACCATCTTTCACAGTGCTGTAAATCATGGAACCTCAACCAATTTAAAAAGATGTTTTTTTGTTTTTTGTTTTTTTTGTGTGTGTTTTGCTTGTCTGTTTTCAGGCCATATCTAGTGATACACAGGAGATACTCCTGGCTCTGTACTCAGCAATTACTTTTGGTGGTGCTCAGAAGACCATATGGGATGCCGGAAACCACACCCAGGTTGGATGCGTGCATGGCAAGTGTCCTACCTCCTGTACTATCGCTCTTGTCCTTCAATCAATAAAAAAAAGTTTTTAAAAATGTTACAACTAATATGATGCCTTGGGGTCGCACATACTAAAAACGTCTTGCTTTTGTCCAGATACTAACTTTATGACAGTGTTTGCTACATTACAGTATTTCACTTCTGGAGAATAGAACAAGAAATTAGGTTTTTTTCTTTCTATGCTACCTTATTTACTGAATTTGTTAAATGAACAGGCTTTACCTTTGAAATTAATAATAAACTGAAAACAGATAATAAAATAGCAGAATACCATTCTGTCCTCATGACTTTAGAGAACATTTAGAATATCACCCTCTACCCCCCACAAATTCAGAAATGCAAGAAGTATAAAAGGAAAACAATAATACGGAGACAAACTTACATAATGTTTATCTGGATTGTATTTCTTATGGTAAGTGAAAACAGAGACTTCCTTGATTCGACCATCTTGTCTAAAGGAGAATGTTTTTGGTGAAAATGAAAGAATGGGCTCATCATTAGAAGGAAGACCAGAAAAACGCAACTGAGCAAGGTTGTGAATGAAGAAGTTAAACTTCGTGGCGATGCTTCCCAAACTGGATTCAATCAACCTATAAAATGATCAGAACATGTGTTAACAGTAAATGTTCATATGTAGTTAAGTCTTAACCGGGGACAAAAAAAACACTTCCATAACTTTTAAAGTAAAAAGCAGAATATCATTTTTGCAAAGTTTATTCCGTAAGTTGTTTTTTTTTGTTTTTGTTTTTGCTTTTTGGGTCACACCTGGCGGTGCTCAGGAGTTAGTCCTGGCTCTGCACTCAGGAATTACTCCTGGTGGTGCTCGGGAGATCATAAGGAATGCTGGGAATTGAACCCAGGTTGGCAACGTGCAAGGTAAATACCCTGCCTGCTGTACTATCGCTCCAGCCCCTGTAAGTTGTTTTTGTTTTATGAGTTTGCTCTCTAAATCAGAAACCTATTGGGGCTGAAGCAGTATTTTTGCATTTTGAGAAAAGTATGTTTTAAAAAGTGCTGCTATAAGTATATTTATTCAATAAATAAATGTTGTAACACAATATTAGTAAGTGAAAGGCTGTCACTTTTTCCTATAATCAAAATTTTGGCATATGGCATTTATTTAAAATAAGGAAAGGTAATATAACTTCTCTAATATGCCTTACCTGGTAAAGAAAATAGTAGCTTCTGCATCTGTAGTTTGTGGCTGAAGGGCATCTCTAACATATTTTAAATCCTGAATACTTGTAAGTTCTGGTAACCCTGAAGGAATCATCTATAGACAGTGAAAGCATGTCTGAGTTAAAAAAAATTTCTTAAGGTCTAACCCTCACTTCTCCCCTAAAAGATGATCAAGTAATCAGAACTAAGAATTAAAACAAAAACAGTTAATAGTTTTGAGGAGTCTGTGAAAGGTTTTTTTTTTTTTAAAATGTGATCGAATGAATGATAAAAGCAAAGTCAAGGAAATAAACTGCAAAAAGTCAGAAAACCAGTTTAAGGACTAAACTGTGAACCAGACCTTTTACCTGGTTTTCATTCCTCCTCTTCCCATGAATTTTCAAAAACCAAAGATGGCTTTGGTTTGACCTCTCTGGTATTTGGGCCACACTCAGCAATGCGTGGGGTTGTTTGGGCAACTGTATGGGTCACAGGATCATCTGGACCTAGGGCCCCCAGGTCCAAGGAGTACGCACACACTAGCCTTTGATCTACTTCTCTGAATCTCATTTTCACATCTTACTTGATACACATTCAGAAAAGCACAGAAATTTTAAGTGGACAGTTGAACAAATGGTCACAGTCTGAACACACCAAGATTAAGACTGAAAACACTGATCCACATGACCCCCGGGGACCCTTTTCACTTACCATACCCAGGCTGACCATTCTAGTGACAGATAGATTAAGTCTGGCACTTTTCACATCACAACCTTTACTACTGAGATAAATTACCTCAGTAGTAATTTATCTGCATCTGAAATCAGAGTCAATTTTATTTCTGAATAAGATGATAACCCTTTAAAAAGTGAAACAGGCTGTAGAGAGAGTTCAGGGAGTCAGAACACATGCCAGCACACAGGTTTGATTACGGGCACCTCATGGTCTGCAAATACCACTAAGGATGGCCCCAAAACAAAGAATTTGAACCAGAAACATTAATTAATAAAATTAACTTTTAAAAAAAAAATAGAACATAATTACCAGTGAAAGGAGGTTTAGAAAGAGGTTTGTCTGTTTTCTTATCAAGTTGTAGGCCTGACAGCAGAGGTCCACAAACAACTGGAAACGAATGGTAGGCTTTTCACCCCCATTGATGACATATGCCATATCAGAGGTCAGTACGAATGGAGCCCGATCCCTAATTAGAAAGAAAATTATACAAACTACTATCACAGGAAATATTAAAATAATGTTATTGCCTTACAAAGTTATCAAATTAAGCCGCAGAGCAATAGCACAGTGGGTAGGGTGTTTGCCTTGCATGCGGCAGACTAGGCCGACCCGAGTTCGATTCTTCCGCCCCTCTCTGAGAGCCCAGCAATCTACCGAGAGTATCTCGACCGCATGGCAAAGTGTGGCAAGCTCCCTTAGCTATAGTAATTTCTAGTAGGGAAAGCTTAAGATCAAAAAGTTCTGAATTTGCACTCTTAAAAATTCACTTTTTTTTATAGAAAGCTATCATAATCTCATTATTTCAGTAAAACGCTTTTCTCAACACACAGAGATGATGAGTAGGTATAAATGTACACAGAAAAAACTGCACACTGTCATTTTACAAATGGGACAGGTAGCACTCAGATAAAGAGCTTTAACTAATTTCAACCATGCATGATCCTCATCTTGTCTGCTTCATGATAAAGTCATCTTTTGTGGGTATGAATATTCGTACCTTTTGAAGCTACCAAACATCTGTGCATGGCCCAAAAACTTCCCAAAGTCAATGTGGAACATGTGTCCTGTGCTTCGCAGCATTATATTGTCATTGTGTCGATCACAGATGCCTAAAACATAGGTGGCTACACAGCACCCAGCACAAGAATAGATAAAATTCTCAGATGCCTATAATAAAAAACAAAAATTTTTAGAAAGATTGTCTAAAGGAGGCAGGATTTATAAAAATAAAACTTTAATTCAACATTTTCTGAAAACACTACTGCAATCACCACTCTCAACAGCTAAGAAGATTTTGCAATAAAGTCAATGTTGTTTAAATTTCAGTAATGAAAAAAAAATTTCAGTAATGAGGAAACCATTCTAACGGTGGCCACTTTGTTCCTTCTCGCTAGTCTTTAACAGGAAGGGATTCTGCAGATCCTATTAGGTTCACGCAGCCTTTTTCACTTGTTTTGCTTTTGGTGTTTTGCTTTGTTTTTGGCTATACCCAGTGGTGCTTAGAGCTGACTCGTGGCTCTGTGCTCAGGTAGGGCTCAGGAGAACATATGGAGTGCCGTGTGCAAGGAAAGAACCCTGCCTATTGTACTATCCCTCCAGAACCACAAGTAGCCTTTAAAGTATCCATCTATATGGACCCCTGCTTCTCAGAGGCTCTGTGATGACCTCAAATGGCAATACAGGGACAAATATTAAACTGAATAAAGTATTTCTGCAGGGACGGCAGGGAGGAGCTCAGCTTTAAATATGCAATATACAATTCATGTCTTTTTTTTTTTTTGCTTTTTTTTGGCGGGGGGGGGGGTCACACCTGGCGATGCACAGGGGTTACTCCTGGCTCTGCACTCAGGACTTATTCCTGGTGATGCTCAGAGGACCATATGGGATGCTGGAAATCGAATCCGGGTCGGCTGCGTGCAAGGCAAACGCCCTACCCGCTGTGCTATCTCTCCAGCCCCACAATTCATGTCTTTTGTTGCCCATTTGGGGATTTCTTATATATCGCTACAAGTTTCTCAAGACTGGAAGCCTTTTCATCCATAACAACCTCAAAATATTTGCTCGAGCTCGAGCGGGCCCAGTAACGTCTCCATTGGAGACTTTGTTGTTACTGTGTCTGGCATATCGAATACTCTCGGTAGCTTGCCGGGCTCTCCGAGAGGGGCGGAGGAATCGAACTCGGGTCGGCCATGTTGGCTGCGTGCAAGGCAAACGCCCTACCGCTGTGCTATCGCTCCAGCCCAAAAAAATATTACTTAAATATTATAATAGCAAATGTTTATACAGTACTCATCACAAACAGGGCACCACTCTTGATACACAAATGTGTGCATGGGGTGTGTGTGTGTGTGTGTGTGTGTGTGTGTGTGGCGTATCAACTCATTAAAAAAAAAAATCCGGGCTGGAGTGATAGCACAGTGGGTAGGGTGTTTGTCTTGCACATGGCCTACCCAGGTTCAATTCCCAGCATCCCATATGGTCCCCTGAGCACTGCCAGGGATAATTCCTGAGTGCAGAGCCAGGAAGGACCCAAAAAGCAAATCGCCAGGTATGACCCAAAAAGCAAAAAGCAAAAAAAAAACATCGCCAGGTATGACCCAAAAAGCAAAAAGCAAAAAAAAATCCACAGCAGGGTCAAAGCAATAGTATAGCAGGAAGGGTGCTTGCCCTGCATATGGCCATCCAAGCCCCGATCACATATGGTTACCACACTTGGTCTCCCAAGCCCCACTGGGAATAATTATTGAGTGCAAAGCTGTGATAAGCCCTGAGTACTACCTGGTGTGCTCCCCCTCAAAAAAAAAAAATCTCACAACAAATGATGTTGGTATTCTTATTATTCCCATTTTACATATTAAAGAAACAGAAGTTAGTGTGCAACAGAACATAAATGTGACATGATAGTCAAGTCAGAGGCTCAGGCAATGTGACTCCATCTTTTAATAGTCACTCTTGACTTAGTAAAGCACATAAAAGAGCCAAGTACATAAAAGCTCAGTGTATGTTACTTGACAATTACTTTGTTAAACAACTCATCCAAAACCATGAGTCAGCATTACTCTATTACTGAAAACAAGTGCTGGTCTCAGCTGCACTGCCTTCTGTAAGTGTGATATGAAAGGCACAGACCTTTCAGGGGTGTGGGGAAGAGACAGAGCTCCCGGCAAATATTTTGCATGTGGGAGGTCCACCTTTGATCACTGATACCTCATGGTGATCCCAGCACCTCCAGGAAGGGTTCCCTAGCACAGAGCAAAGAGCAGTCCTGAAGACTGCAAGAAGTGGCCCCCAAATGAACATACAAAGAACTGAAAAAAAACTGAAAAGACCCAGAAAGCACAAAACTCCTCTACCTTGTTGCTTAGATCAAGGGGAGCAACTGCAAATATCTGTAAGTGTGATGTGATAATAATTTGAGATAAACATCTTCCTGGGTTGGAAAGGTATTACAGGGGCTCAGGTACTTGGTTTGCATGCAGCTGACCCCGGTTAGATCTCCTCTAGCTGTCAGGACTGATCCCTGAGCACAGAGAAGTAAGCCCTCTGCACCATCCAATCCCTCCTCCCTCCACACCCCCCCCCCACCTTCCAAAAAAACAAAGAACAAATATTTTAAAACTTGAATCTTGGGACCGGAGCAATAGCACAGCGGGTAGGGTGTTTGCCTTGCATGCAGCCAACCTGGGTTCGATGCCCAGCATCCCATATGGTCCCCTGAGCATCGCCAGGAGTAATTCCTAGTACAGAGCCAATAGTAACCCCTGTGCATGACCGGGTGTGAACCAAAAAGAAAAAAAACAAAACTTGAATCTTCCAAAATGACCTCTGAAAGTGTTTCTGCATCTTTCTTAGTCCTATATATGATCATGTTAGGTCTCATGCCCCAAGAGCTGTCCCTTTCCTCTAATATAATTCCAGATTATAAAATACTGATACACCAATAATAATAGCTATCAATGTATAACTTTATAAATAGCACTTTTTATATGATCATTTAATTCTCACAATCTTGCTTTTCCAACCACAGTATAGAACATCACAATACATGCACTGTAATGTTTAACAGCAGAGGTCATAGAGGCACATAAAAAAGGGCCAAATAATTTGCCAAAGGGGTGAGGGAGATTTAACTCTTGAGTGACCTGCAGGCTGTAATCCAGCCAAGATTTTGACCCATTACCTGGCTTTTAATCACCACATTATATTATAAAACCATTCTTATTTCCATAACTTATTTAGGTTTGGGGGAGGAGGGGGAAACACGCATCCAAGAAATCTCAAGAAAACTGTAGTGACGTCCAGTAGAGCTCGCCCACCCAGCTCTGTAGGCCGGATAACTCAACATGTTGGCCTGGTGTTGCTAAGCAGTGCTTTAAGTCACCAGGACCGTGCCTACTCGTGCTGCCGGCAGATCAAACTTGAGTCTCGTTGTATGAGAGGCATGAGCTCCAGCCCTCTGAGCTATCTCCCCAGGCCCTTCTTTTCTATAACTTTTTCCAAGACCTTTGTGAAATATAATACTTTGTGAAAAAAGTTTGTTTTCCAGACCTTTAAGAATATGTTTTTGTGGTAAACAGCACTGACTTCACCTAAATTTTTGCTATTAAATGCACTCTGTTGCATATTCCTTCTGTTAACTTGGAGAAAAATTGCTTTAAAAATTTGAACTGACCAATGACAGGTTAATGAAGCTGTGATAAATTTACACAATAGAGCACACCTGTATTCACAGCTGTAAGGAATGATAAAATCATGCAACTTGCTGCAACATGGATGGTACTGGAAGATGTCATGTTAAATGAAGTACGCCAGAAGACGAAAGATAAACACAGGATGATAAAACCCAGCTCCCAGAAGGGCGCAGCCGTATTATCTCGTTCTTACTTTGGAGAACCCGGCAGGCTACCAAAAGTATCTTGCCCGCACGGCAGAGTCTGGCAAACTACCCGTGGCGTACTCAGCATGCCAAATACCAGTAACAATGATGGGTCTCATTCTCCTAACCCCGAAAGAGCATTGATCATGGCACTTTTTAAAATCTCTGGGCTAGGACGAAGGAGACGTTACTAGTGCCTGCTCGAGGCAATTGACAACAGGATGGTCATGATCATGGTATCACAGAATGATATATGGTATTTAGAATTACTGGATGAGGAAATCCAACAGGGGATGCCTAGGCCACCTATGGCCCCAGAGTATAGGGAGGAGAAAGAAACAGAGAAGAGAGGAAGAAGAGACAGATGAGAAGTAACGGGGGCAGGGGTCAAGGAGATTCAGGTACATCGATAGTGTTGAGGAATGATAGACCTAAATATCCAAACCACAGAATCAGCAACACTGAAATCATGAGACCCAAACTTTAACAGAACCTAAAAAGGTGCCTGTCTAGATGACAATTTTCGGCAGGGGCTTGAGGGAGGAGAGGCAACTTGGGAACACTGGTGAAGGGAAGTTATCACTGGTGATGGGCTTGAAAATCAAAACACATAAAACTTATGCAATGTATTTCTGACAGAATCATTTAGAATAGAGACTTGCTAATCACCTTTTCATATTCCTCTTCAGAGGGATTGTATTTTCTCAGCCACTCTGCAAGGGGCTTATCTTTAAAGGATCCTGTCACACCATATTCCACTTGGATTTTCCTGAGAGTATCTGAAGCAGGAACAAGCTCCACCATGCCTTGAACAACAAAACATTAAGCCATGTGAAAATGTCTCTCAAAAGACAGAGTCTTTACAAAATTAATTTCAAACTTTGACATAAGATATCAGCTAGTGATTGTATTTAAAAATATGGCCGTTCATGTCAGAAAATATGATCAAATTAATCTTTCTGCTTTTCAAAAGTGCCCAATAAATAAAAGTGAAATCTGACTATAAGAGATTTTCTGTAGATTGTAGACATTATGTGTGGCTGTGTCTTACCTCCAGGATAAGATATTGATCTCAGGCATGAGATACTTGCTATCCTACTTTATCATAAAAGCTTTCTCTAATCAGATACAAGATACGAATGTTTAAAAATGCAAGAAACCCTTTCAAGATAAAAGAACAAGTTATGGTTGTCCTTATGATTACTTAATTCTCACATACTTTTATCTCCCTAAGTGAAATGTCAACATGTGGATGGGCAAGGATCTTCCCATTTTGGGGGGTTTGGCGTGTGTGTGTGTGTGTGTGTGTGTGTGTGTGTGTGTCCCATAAAACAGTGCTCAGGAAAACAAATGGGGTCCCAGGGATTGAACTCAGATCAGCAGTGTACAAGGCATTCACCCTCCCCTGTGTACACTCTCTCTGGTTCCTGGGCAAGTCATTTTTTTTCTTTATAATCCCCTTAAAACTCCTTTGCTGCATCTGACAAGAGTGAATTCATTTGGATACTTTACTGCTGTTTTGATTATATCTAGTTACAGTGGCAATCTCCTTAATTCAATGACATTCAATTTTAAAAAAAGTGTTTTTTTGGGGGGGAGGAGCACCTCAGCAGTGTTCAAGGATTACTTCTGGCTCAGCACTCTGGAATTATTTCTGGTGGTGCTCAGAGGACCATAAGGGGTGCCAGGGACCAAACCCAGGTCAGCTGAGTACAAGGCAAAAGCCCTACCTGCTCTACTATTGCTCTGGTCTCTCAATGAAAATTTTTATTTGCATGCAGATTTCTAATTTTATAATTAAATATACATTTATATAAATTACACTGTAGAAAAGAGTAGGTAAAAGTTCTTACTGCTATCTACGGAAGAAATGATCCCTGCACTGAGAGAAATTAAAATCAATACAAATAAATATCTGGTAATATTCACAACTGATGCTGAATCTACAGACAAGAGTTAAAACATGCTTGTTAAAAACTTTACAGAAGGGGGTCAGGAAGAGGATCAACAAGCCCAAGTACAAGCCTTGCATTACTACAGGACAGACAAACTGGTTAAATCAGAGCTAGCATGACGAAAACGTATTAGCTCTATTTAGGAATAAGTTTCACACGGGACACTTTGCTCTTCTCTGTTTGACAATATCCAGATAAATTCTCAAAGACTATAGATCACCTGAGACATTCACCTGAGACATTTACAGTGAGAAGAATCAAGTGATAAAGTAACTTAAAGTCACATATAATAAATGGCTATAGAATTTGAAACTCAGATTATAATTCGGGTCATTATGAAGAAGAATTCAATTTAATTACATGATAGTTTATGAAAAGAACAGGAACCAATGAGCAGACAATATTGGTGTCAGTTCTCATTTATCTGAATATAAGAAAGAAACACAATTATCAGAGCTATTCAGGATAGGAAGAATTACCTTAAAAAATAGTGAAATTCTTTCACAATAGGCATTTAAGCAAAAGATGAATGGTAAATACAGAAGGATAGTTATATAAGATAATCTTTATAATCTTTCAGGTGATTTTCAAAGTATATATGATTAGAATCTATGAAGTATTTCACATCCTCATCAGCCATAAGTGATCTTTCCCTCCTTAAAAACCTTACAGTATTGCCTTTGTTATTCATTTACAGCTTCAAGCTTTCTAAAGCATTTTTCAGTTATACATATTTTCTCCTCTCGAAAATAAAAACACAAGATAGCAGCATTTGGAGACAGTAGCAACACAACATTTGTTGAATAAGAATAATGATAATAGTGGCCAGGGAAGTAAGTCAGTGGCAGAGAGCATGCTCGGTTGGCCCTGGGTAGATTTTGCCACCAACTCCCTCCCTCTCCTAAAAAGAAAAGAAAAGAATGAGTGCAGTTTATTGAGCAAATATCAAGTAATATTATGTATTAGATACTCAGGTGTCTTACATTTATTATCATAATATCTCTGTGATATTATTATTTATTATTTATTATCATAATATCTCTGTGATAATGTGAGTAAATTATTATACATACATGTGGTAAGAAAAAAAACATTAAGATGAAATCTGCTTTTTGTAGAAAAAAATTATAACCATTATTTTATTTTGCATAAATAAAATCAAACTTGATTTTAAAACAAGTTTAATTTTAAATGAAAAGCTAAAAAGACCTGTAAGTCCTTGTTAAGTCTTAAGAGACATTTCTAATAACTGTCACTGTCCTCCCACTGTACATCGATTTTCTTGAGTGGGCCCAGTAACATCTCCATTGTGAGACTTTGTTGTCACTGTGTTTGGCATATTGAATACGTAACGGGTATTTTGCCAGGCTTTGCCGTGCGGGCGAGATACTCTCAGCAGCTTGCTAGGCTCTCCAAGAGGGGCAGAGGAATCGAACTTGGGTCAGCCGTGTTGGCTGCATGCAAGGCACTGCAAAACAGAATTCATCAGGGTTCCCCATTGACCTACTGAGCTGTGAACAATGGATTCAATGAAGTAACACTCAACTAAAATAAGAAACTGAGATCATAGTATACTACCATTCTGTTAGGGCAGATACATTCTGAGTTAAATTCACCAAGAAAAGAAAAAAAAAAAGATACCAAAACACAAATAGACATACCTCGATCTCTGCCAGTAGAGAGACATTTGAAAATAACCATCCTCAAATCTAGTCCCTCTTTAAGCCAGATCTTGTCCATAATCTTTATCATCTGTAAAGCTAACATATCCTGCCGAAGATCTTCACCAACCTTGAAATCAAGGAAACAAAATGAAAACCACTTTTTCTAAGAAAACTTAACAGATTACATACTATAAAAGATGAGAGCTGGGGAATGGAGGAAAATAAAAAATGAGATGAATAGAATTGCCTTTTAATCTTTCTGCAGTAGTCTATAGAAAGCTACTTAACCACTTCATGTCTCCAAATACTTTAGAAGTTGATTTGCATGTCATGTGAATTGTATTAAAAATTCTGAAATGACAATATGGTGAACTTCATAAGGAGTGAAATATATCACATGTTGTTTTAACTCTGTGTGTGTGTGTGTGTGTGTGTGTGTGTGTGTATGTGTATGTGTGTGTGTTGGTTTTGGGGCCATACCCAGCAATACTCGGGGGTTATTCCAGGCTCTGCAGTCAGGAACCACTCCTGGTGGGCTTAGGGGATATGAGATGCTGGAGATCAGCTGCCTGCCAGGCAAGCATCCTATTCACTGTACTGTCACCTGGCCCCCTCAAAGTCAATATTTTGACTGTGACATAAATCGTTTTATAAAATAATACTCTAGGGGAAACCGCACAAAAGACTGTTTACAATGATCTCAAAAAATAAATTTAATGAGCAGAAAGATAGTTGCACTGGCTGAACATTTGTGTTGGAGGTTTGGTTTTATATATTTTGGGCTTGGGGGGCTGGAGTGATAGCACAAAGGGTAGGGCGTTTGCCTTGCACACAGCAGACCAGGCCAACTCAAGTTCGATTCCTCCGCCCCTCTCGGAGAGCCCGGCAAGCTATTGAGAGTATCTCGCCCGCACAGCAAAGCCTGGCAAGCTACCTGTGACATATTCGATATGCCAAACACAGTAACAACAAGTCTCACAATGTTACTGGGCCCATTCGAGCAAATCAATGAACAATGGGAGAACAGTGCTACAGTGCAGACAGTGGGCTTGGGAGGCGGGGGGAGCACACATGTCAGTGTTTAGGATTAAATCAGGGATGGAAGGCAAGTGCCTTAACTCCTCTCTCTGTCTCCTGGTGATCCAAGGTAAATCCCCAAAGTATGGGGTCCAATGAGCACTTTCTGGAATGACATCCAAGCACAAGTTAAAAAGTACTCCCCGAGCACTACCAGATATGGCCCTCAAAACAAGAAAGTTTAGTTAAAATCAGGCCTAGGGCAGGAGAGATAATGAAAGACGTAAGGCACTTGCCTTTTTGGTAGCTCCTTCAGTAACTTTTTTTTTCTTTTTGGGTCATACTTAGCGATGCTCAGGGGTTACTTCTGGCTCTGCACTCAAGAATTACTCCCGGTGCTGTTGGCGAACCATATGGGAAGCCAAGGATTGAACCTGGGTTGGTCAAGCGCAAGGCAAATGCTCTACCCGCTGTACTATCACTCCGGCCCCTCTTCAGCAACTTTTGATTCAAATCCTCAGCATCACATACTGAGTACTCCAGGAATCACTTTTGAGCACAGAACTAGAAATAACCCTTGGGCACTACCGGGTGCACATCCCTCTCCCCCCCCCCAAAAAAGAAAAACCCTAACTTTAAATTAAAAACAAGTAACAAATGGCAGGTCTACATATTTGGGAACATGGTATATATATCAAAGGTGGTTGCAAACAGGCTATCTTTATAAGCATCCAATTCATCAAATTCATCAAACTCATTGTATTAAGTAAGATTCTCCAATTCTCCTTCAAAATAATCACAATACAAAGAACTTTGATGATAAATTATTTTGGCAGTACTCAACTCCTAACACTGCCCACAGGTAAGACATATATCTTTAAAAAAGTGTCTGAGACCTTACCCCATCTTCCCATCCTTCCTGTTCGCTGACAGTCATGCCCAAGAACTGTCTTTGGGTATCATCTAAGCACATTAATGGCCATGATTCAGACTCACAAATGAATCTGGGAGGAGAGCAGCATGCCACAGGTATACCTCCAGACCCCAAATATTTGAAAATATTTAAATATTTTAAGAGCTCCAGGAGGGTGCGGTCACTTTGGTGGCTGGGTGACACCTCATACTATTCAGCATCTGCCTAAGGGAGAGGCACGAGTGGTGGTGGGAAGATTCAAAATAATGGTGGTGGGGCTGGAGCAATAGCACAGCAGGTAGGGTGCTTTCCTTGCATGCGGCCAACCCGGGTTCGATTTCCAGCATCCCATAGGTCCCCTGAGCACTGCCAGAGGTAATTCCTGAGTGCAGAGCCAGGAGTAACCCCTGTGCATTGCCGGGTGTGACCCAAAAAGCCAAAAAAAAAAAAAAAGGTGGTGAGAAGGTACACTGGCTGTGGGATTGGTATTGAAATATTGAATGTAAACAATTACTGTGAACAACTTTATGAAAAATTTAAAAATTAAAAAAAAAAAGTATCTGAGTGGCCAGAGTGATAGTACAGTGGGTAGGGTGTTTGCCTTGCAGTTCGATCCTTGGCATCCCATATAGTCCCCTGAACACCGCCTGGAATAAGTCCTGCATGAACAGCCAGGAGTAACCCCTGAGCATTGCCGGTTATGACCCAAAAAGAAAAAAGAAAAACAAAAGTGAATGACATTGCCTGAAATAACAATGTGCTCCATTAGCATTGCCATATGTAATGTAGCTAGCCCAGCGTAATATTAGTTTGAGAACAGTTAGTGATGTTTCTTAATTATTCAACCTAACTTATTAATTATTAAACCCAATTTTATTACAATTTGGAAAATGGAGTTTGAGAAAAGAAATACTAATTACCACTTAAAAACAGAATAACCTTGACCAAAGCAACAGCTCAACAGTGGAGGACATGCTTTGAAACCCTAGATTCATCTCCAGCACCAAAATGAACAAAAACACCAAAGGAATGTTAATTGGCTCACCTTAAACATGACATTGATTTCTTCCCCCAACGGATCAGCATTTACCATTGCAACTTTCAAGGGCACAGCATTAGAACTGAAGAAGGAACAAGACTACAAATAAAACATGTTAAGCATTAGACATACTACACTGGAATAAAAACAGGCCTATCATCTTTTTCAACCTAGGCATTTCTCCTAGGCATTTGCTCCAGTACTACCCTGGTCTTTCAAAGTCACAAACACTGATGAGTGCTTTTGCCAGAGAAAATCCACATTTACATAACTACAAGCCCAGTTCCACATACTGAACTCAAAATAAAACATTTTCAAAAACAAACAAAAAAAATGGGGCTGTAGCTATAGTATAGCAAGTAGGGTGCTTGCCTTGCATATAGTAAACCCAGGTTTAATCCCTGATACCCAATATGGTTCCCAGAGCCTGCTAAGCACTGCCAGGTGTGGCCCCCAAACAAAACAAAACAAGATATATAGTATATTCTGATGGCAATGAAAAGTATCATAAACCTGGCAAAAGGCTCCCTAGCCACTCACAAGAAAAGGAAAAAAGATTTTCTGTCATTGGGTGGTTTAAATGATAGTGTTATGTATCTCTCAATAGCTATAATCACCATATAAAATAATTCAAGGTAGGAACTGGAGCGATAGCATAGCAAGTAGGGCATTTTCCTTGTACGCAGCCAACCTGGGTTCAATTCCCAGCATCCCACATGGTCCCCAAGCACCACCAGGAGTGATTCCTGAGTGCTGAGCCAAGAGTAAACCAGGTGTGACCCAAAAAGAAAAAAAAAGAAATGCCCAGAGTCAGCCAAAATGTGAGTTGGTCTTCAGTAGGAAGCATGCCACTTGGGGGAACGGGAGTTAGGACAGGGAAAGGAATACTAATACAGTGACAGAGGAAAGTGTTCAGCTGGGAGGAAGAAAGGGTTTAAAAGATAGTAAAGCGGGAATGCATGGAAACCTATCAGCAACGGTATTGTAAAGCAAGGTGCAAAAAACTATTTAAAAAAGAAAAAAGTGCCCTCCTGGACGCAGGCTCTGTGTGAGAAGACAATTGGGGGGCAAGAGATATGACACTGGTGGAGGGAAGTGGACACTGATGATGGGACTGGTGTTGAAACAGTGTATTCCTGAAACCAAATCACGAGTAACTTTGTAATTCATGGTGACTTAATTTAAAAAAAATTAAATAAACAAACAAACAAATAAATAATTCAAGGTAGCAAGAAACTAAGTTTCTTCTGTCAGTAAAGATAAACTGAGGTAAACCTTGATCTTAAACAAACATCCATAATTCCTTATAGTTAACCTAACTAGGTTTTACCCACATCTGCGTTAAACAAGCCAATATTTTTGCTTTCCTCCTAAACATATTTTTGAAATTTAATATAAAATTCTGTTTTATGTATCACCTTAATATTTAATTCTTTTGCCACAAGACTTGGATTTAGAGGGAGACGGCATTTATTTTTTTGGAAAAAGGTCTGTACTCTTTCCATACTTCTTTGGAGAACCACCTAGGGAAAAAGAAGAAAACAGTAAATACATAATAAAATTGAGATTTTTTTTTTTCTGCTTTTTGGGTCACACCTGGCGATGCTCAGGGGTTACTCCTGGCTCATGCAGTCAGGAATTGCTCCTGGCGGTGTTCGGGGGACCATATGGGATGCTGGGAATCGAACCTGTGTCGGCCATGTTGGCTGCGTGCAAGGCAAATGCTCTACCCACTGTGCTATTGCTCCAGTACCGAGATCTATTTTTAAGACAACAAAATATGAGTACCTAGTTTGATTTATTTTAGTGAAGCAAGATAGTTTTTATTGAATGAAATGATTGGAAAGTTGTAAAAGGACAGAAAGGAAATATATATTCAAGAAAGAACATGGACTTGAAGAACAAGCTGATGTGCACCCAGTGTTTAAAAAAACCAGTTATGGGCCAGAAAGATATTACAGTGGGTAAGGCATGTGTCTTGCATGTGGCCTTTCCTGGTTAGATCCTTGGTACCACATCTTAGCTCCACCAGGAGTGATTCTGGCACAGAACCAGGAGTAAGCCCTGAGAAAAAAGACAAAATTATAAGGAGTCTTACGTCCTAGTTTAAACAATGTAAAGGAGAGTCAAGGAATGGCTCATGGGCCCAAAGCATCTGCATTACAGAAGTGAGGCTATGTGTCTGAGTTCCAATGATGCCCACATGTGCTGAGCATGTAACAATGAAATTGTGATCTCTGGGCACTAATGACGGAGGAGCACATTGCCACACATGGTGAGCATGTGTGAGCACCTGTGATGCATGGGAAACATCTCAAGTGTACAAGGACTACAATCAGAGTGCCACAGTCATAGCCCTAGTCACTGCAATGACAATAGCAATCACTTATCATTTAATCACTTAATCCCCGTTATTCATCGATTTATTCGAGCGGGTGCCAGTAAGGTCTCCATTCATCCTGGTTGCGTGCTAGCGTAGCCCAATGGTATCTGTTCGTTCTAGGAACACGCAGAGCCTCAAACCGATCATCCAGGGTCTTGACGAAGAAGTCTGACCATCTTGTAGGTGGGCGTCCACGTGATCTTTTGATGTCCCGTGGAATCCAATCAATCAGTAATGGCTCTAGTCCAGCGGTTGTCTGTAAACCTCATTACATGTCCAGCCCATCTGATTTTTGATGTCTTGGCAAATGAGACAGCGTCCCTGATTCTTGAGCGTTGACGAAGATCAGAACTCCAGATTCTATCTCTCATTTGAGTGAATCGTGATATTCCAAGCATAGCTCTTTCGATTCCTCTTTGAGAGACCCGAATAGCGTTTTCATCCTGTTTTCATAGGATCCAGGTCTCTGAGGCATATGTTAATGCAGGAAGAACAGTGGAATCAAAGAGATGTGCTTGTAGCTGGAGGTTCTTTGTCCTTTTAGTTATTTCTTCAACGTTCTTGAAGGCATTCCAAGCCGCTCTCTTCCTCCTGCGCAACTCAGGTGCCAGGTTATTCATCATGTTGATTTCTCGACCTCGGTATATATAACTCTTGCATTCGGAGATGGTGGTTCCGTTGAGAGCGAATGGAGCGTCAGGAACAAGGCTGTTTCTCATAAACATTGTCTTCGTAAGATTCAGCTGTAGTCCGACCTTTCCACATTCACGGTCAAAGTCGTTCAGCATTTGTGCCTCTTGGCTGATGTTTGGTGTTATTAGAACGATGTCATCAGCAAAGCGGAGGTGGTGTAGTTGCCGACCATCTATCTTCACTCCCATGCTTTCCCATTCCAGTTGTCGCATGATATTCTCGAGGGTGGCACTGAAGAGTTTTGGTGAAATGGTATCACCCTGCCGAACCCCTCTCTTGATATGGATGATTACTTCTTTGTAGAATGAATGGTGAGATCTTGGTAGTGAATCCGCAATAGAGCTCACGAAGGATCCTGATGTATTGAGTTTGTACGCCCTGATTGGCTAGGGCTTCCATGACCGCTTCCGTCTCAACAGAATCAAAGGCCTTCTTTAAATCAATGAACGTTAGACACAGCGGCATCTTGAACTCCCGAGAAACCTCAATGAGCTTAGTAATCGTGTGGATATGGTCGATGGTACTGAATCCTTTTCGGAATCCGGCTTGTTCACATGGTTGTCCTTCATCTAGTGTTCTGCTAATCCTATTCAGGATGACTCGAGTGAACAGTTTGTAAACGACAGATAATAGGCAGATTGGGCGATAGTTGCCAATGTCGTGGATGTCTCCCTTCTTGTATAGTAGTACAGTCCTGCTGGTTTTCCATTGGGATGGAACCTTGCATTCAGACAGGTAGCATGTGAAGAGCGGAGCCAATGTATTGATGGGTACTGCTGGTAAGTTCTTCAGGTGTTCAGGTCTGATCTTGTCTGGGCCAGGTACTCTTTGTTTCTTTACCAACGAGATGGCATGTTGGATTTCGGAAGGGAGAACATTGGGAACGACATATCCATCATGTGGTATGTGGTATGTGGGCAAGTGAACGTGGCTATTAAAGAGATCTGAGTAGAAGTCACGAATAATCTTCTCCATTGACCTTCTGGAAGATGTGATAGATCCATCATGATGTTGGAGGGCAGTCATCTTGGTTTATATATATAATATTATATATTTATATATATTATTTTTTATATTTCCATCTGTATTGTTATTATATATAATATATAACATTATATATTATATATTATATATCATATATAATAACAATACAGATGGAAATATTGTATTGTTATTATATATAATGTTATATATTATATATTATATATAATAACAATACAGATGGAAATATAAACATATGAGTTCAGAAATAAACCCTTGGTCAACTTATTGTCAACAAAGGTACCAAGTTCAGTCTCACTTGGAAAATGAGTCTGTTCCACAAATATGATTATCCGGAAAAACTAGATAACCACAAGCAAAAGGATAAAGCTAAGCCCTTATTTTATTTCAATAAAAAAATTAAAAATTGGTCAAGGAGCAATAGCACAGCGGTTAGGGCGTTTGCCTTGCAAGCGGCCAACTGGGTTGGATTCCCAGCATCCCATATGGTCCCCTGAGCACCGCCAGGGGTAATTCCTGAGTGCAGAGCCAGGAGGAACCCCTGTGCATTGCTGGATGTGACCCAAAAAGCAAAAAAAAAAACCCACACAAACTGGGGTCAACGCTATTGTACAGTGGGTAGGGCATTTGCCTTACACACAGCTGACCTGGGTTCAATCTCCAGCACCCCATAGGGCCTCTGGACTATTGCCAGGAGTGATCTGAGTGCATAGCCAGGAATAAGCCCTGAACATTACTGGGTGCACCAACTCTGCCCCACACTCCTCCCCAAAAAATACAAAACAATTTTCAAAGGACTAAATGGATATTTATTTTGCTTATTCATTCTCCATCCAAGTACTAACCAGGCCCGACCCTGCTTAGCTTCCGAGATCATGGAGCGATAGCACAGCGGGTAGGGCGTTCGCCTTACAAGCGGCCAACATGGCCGACCCGAGTTCGATTCCTCCGCCCCTCTTGGAGAGCCCGGCAAGCTACCGAGAGTATTCGATATGCCAGACACAGTAACAACAAAGTCTCCAATGGAGACGTTACTGGGCCCGCTCGAGCAAATCGACGATCAACGGGAGGGCCTTTACCTTTTACCTATTCATTCTCCAAAGAAGGCACATATCAAGATATACACAAAATCATTTTTCATTACAGAAAAGCAAATTAAAACCATACTAAAATTATAATTCATACCCATTAGGTTGGCAACAATTAAAAATAAAGGGGTTGGGGATGTAGCTCGGTGCTAGAGCCCTGCCTTGTAAATGTCTTGCATTAAGCCTTAAGTTCCCAGCACTGAAAAAAAAAAAAATATATATATATATATGATACTGCACTGCACTGTCCTCCAGTTGTTCATCGATTTGCTCAAGCAGGCACCAGCAACGTGTCCACTGTGAGAATTGTTACTGTTTTTGGCATAGCGAATACACCACGGGGAGCTTTCCAGGCTCTGCCGTGCAGGCGGGATACTCTCCGTAGCTTGCTGGGCTCTCTGAGAGGGACAGAGGAATCGAACCCAGGTCAACCATGTGCAAGGCAAACGCCCTACCCACTGTGCTATCGCTCCAGCCCATTACTAAGATACATAAAAACAGAAATAGTTGGTGAGGATGTGGAGAAATTGTTAGTAGAAAATGCTGAAGCCGTTTTGAGGTAACAGGTTAGTAGTTCCTCAAAAAGTTGAATACAGGGGCCAAAGAGATTAAAACAGGGGTTTAGGTGCTTGCCTTGAATGCAGCTAACCCTGGTTTGATTTGCAGTACTGCATATAGTCGTCCGTCCCCTCCCCCCTAAGCATGCCAGAAGTGGCCCCTGAGCACCGAGCTAGGTGTAGCCCCTGAGTACCAGTAGATATGGTCCTAAAACCAAAAAAAAAGGTTAAATAATAGAAAAAAGTGAAATGTCTATTAACTAATAAATGAATAAGCAAAATAAATATCTAAACAATGTAACATTACTCAGGAATAAAAAGAAAACAAATATGAATATGGATGAAGCTGGACCCAGAGTGATAGTACAGTGGGTAAGGTGTTTGCCTTGCATGCAGCCAACCAGGGTTTGATTCCTGGTATCCCAGATGGCCCTCCAAGTACTGCCAGGAGTAATTCTTGAGTGCAGAGCCAAGAATAAGCCCTGAGCATCATTGGGTGTGACCCATTTTTAAAAGGAAGAAAAAAAAATAAGAATATAAGTGACACTTTAAAATACTAAATGAAAGAAACCAGGCATAAAAAGCTAAAAAACGATATGAATCCACTTAAATGAAAGGTCTAAAATAAGAAAATTCCATAGAATAAAAGCAGATTGCTTCTAACAAGGGGGTGGGAGGAGGTGAAAGTGAGGGAGTGGTTAGTGGTTTTATTTTGGTGTGAATTTTCTGAAACTAAATAGTGGCATGGTCATGTAACATTGTAATTATACTAGAAAACATAAACCATTTTAACTATAACTTAAAAATACCTATGATATTCTTATCTCAACAATATATATTTTTCTATTAAAATTTTACAACAGGGCCAGAGAGACAGTACAGGTGGTAAAGGCACTGGCCTTGCATGCAGTCAGCTTGACTTCGATCCCTGGCATCCTACAGGCTGGGGATGTGGCTGTGCACATGCCTTACAGCTGCACAGCACTGAGTTCCACCCCAGCACAACCTGGATGAGGGAGGGGTAAAGAGCAGAATGGAGGATCAGGGGTAGCTCAGTTAATAGATCCTCGGTCAGCCGCATGCAAGGGAAGTGCTCTACCTGCTTGATTTCACTCCAGTCCAAGAGGACAATTCTTAACAGAAAGAAATAGGCATGGAAATTAAAAAGCATTGCTTTTCAGGTAGGCTGTATAAAATCTACAAAATTATAAAACTACCTGGACCTAATGAAATAGGTGACCAAGGCTGCAGGATATAAGTTTGCTGGGAAAAAGTCAGAATGCAATAACCAACTGTATTACTAGATAATAAGAACGGTGAGCAGTAAAATTTTAAAGCAGCAATACCGTTTACAATAATATCCAATATATGAATTGCTTAGGGATTACATTTAGAAAAGACGAGAACTAAAAACTTAATTATAAGATACAGCTGGAGGAAATTAAGGAAGATCCAAACTATGGTAAAATAAATGGTGACATGGGTCGGAAAGACTCAGTAGTTGTAAACAGTCCATTTTCTACAAGTTTAGCTAGACGTAATCAGAATCTTAAGCAAAATTCCAGCTTGCTATTGCTATAGAAACTGATGATTCTAAAGTTTATATGAATTTGTAAAGTACCTTAAAATATAAGAAACCACTTATATGAAATCGCTTTCAAAAAGATCAAAGATATTGGACACACAAAAGGAAGAAAAAATTATTTCCATATGTCAGGTTACTTTAATATCAAAATATTTATGTTGCCTCTTATGGGTACATACCTGTCTGGTAGATCCACTAGCTTGCCTTACTTTCTCTGCTACTCCTCCTAAAAGCTGCACAAGTTTTGTCTGCTTCAAAAGTTCTTCTCTGAGTCTTTTTCCTCCTACTGAGAGTAGAGCACCCAAAACAAGCTCATACCGAGCTCCAAAGTGTGCGTCATGCAGTGCATCCTTGAGAAGCCTAATACAGCAAAATATTTGTCAGCCATCTTTCTCAAACATCAATGTAATGAGTTTCATTTTTTTTTCCTTTTTGGGTCATCCCCAGTGATGCACAGGAGTTACTCCTGGTTCTGCACTCAGGAATTACTCCTGGCAGTGCGTGGGGGACCAGATGGGATGCTGGGAATCGAACCCGGGTCAGCCACATGCAAGGCAAACACAATACCCGTTGTGCTACTGCTCCAGCCCCATGAGTTTAATTTTTAGTACTCAGAGATTTCTTTTAGGATATATAAACAAGTAAAAATGTATCTATAATAAGAGCTCTATCATGACAAATGTCTTTGTCGTATTTATTTTTAAATGCAAAAATATTTTAGCATAAAAATTTAGCCTCCACATAATATTATTTACAGGAACCATGTAAGTATTGTGAGTATAACATTTAGACTTTTTCAGTGTCTTCTCTGAAAGTAATAGAAAAGGAAATAAAGAACTAAGGAAATTTAAATCTTACCAATATAAACTGTGTGCTATACGTATATTTCCCAAAGCTCTGGACAGAAGAAAGCGTAATAAAGAACTATTCAGATAAATTTCATATTTCAAAGCCTATATACAAAGAAAAATAAGAAGTATTAATGGCCAATCTTATACTACACAGGCTTATACTATCAAGAGAAATGATCTGAAGTATTATTATTTTTTTTTTGGCTTTTTGGGTCACACCCGGTGATGCTCAGGGGTGACTCCTGGTTCTGAACTCAGAATTGTGCAAGGCAAATGTCACTGTACTATCATTCTAGCCCCTGAAGTATTATTCTTGCTGACAAAAGATGATACTTAACTTGTATCATAAAATATATCATAAAATTTATTTTACCAATAAAAATCAAATAGTAATACATAAACCTGTGAGTAACACCACTTATTAGCTATGTTTAAGTAGTCAGGAAAGTAAAATCAGCTAAAAGCTCCAGTCTGATTTGTTCTAAGAATTTACAACGTACTAAAAACCCAGATGGGCTGGAGCGATAGCAGAGCGGGTAGGGCGTTTGCCTTGCACACAGCCAACATGGCTGACCCGAGTTCGATTCCTCCGCCCCTCTCGGAGAGCCCAGCAAGCTACCGAGAGTATCTCGCCCACACGGCAGAGCCTGGCAAGCTCCCCGTGACGTATTCAATATGCCAAACACAATAACAATTGTCACAATGGAGACGTTACTGGGACTGCTCAAGCAAATCGATGAACAAAGGAAGGACTGTGAAAAACCCATATTTATTTATTTCCATAAACTAAACCATATTTAGTATGTGGAAGCTGTCAATAATGGGGAAAAGTTCACATTAAATCAATTTCAATTCACCTTAACACTTCAATGCTACAACAGCATTTTTATTTATTTTTTTGTATTTTCGGCCACAGCTGGCAATGCTTAGGGATTATTCCTGGCTCTGTACTCAGTGATCACTCCTGATGGTGCTTGGGTGACCATATGGGGTGCTGGGGATCAAATCTGTGTCAAGTGCATGGAAGACAAGTGCCTCACCTGCTGTACTATCTCTCTGGCCCTTACAAAAGCATTTTTAAGTGGAAACAGGAAGGGGGGGCAATGGTTAGGGCACTTCCCCTGTATGCTTCCAACTTGTGTCGGAAGCCTGGCACCACATATAGTCCCCTCTGCCCCGTCAGGAGTAGTAATCTGAGCGAAGATACAGGAGGAAGGACTGAGCACCATCAGGTGTGGCCCGAGACAAAACAAAACAAAAAACCCAGAAGAGGGATCCCTTAGGGGGTTCCCTACTCTTAAAAGCCATGGGAAGAGTTAGTTTAATAGGTAACCAACAAAGTCAAAAGAACAAAAACAGAAAACTGACCTGTACAAATTGTGGAAGAAGATCTGTAAGCTCATCATCACTAATGGCCTCAATCCAGTTCACAGCCAGAGACCTCACTTCCTGATCGGCAAATCTAGAAGAGTGCCAACAAATGAAGATTTAACAGTGATTTCTTAGGGAAGCTAGTTCTGGAAAACACAATTTCAATCTATTCCTATTAAAGAATAATCGAAAGTTCTTAATTCAAAGCAGTGTGGCAGAATGTTTTTTCTTTGGGTCATACCCAGTGTTGCTCAGCGCTGACTCCTACTTCTGTGCTCAGGGGACCACATGTGGGGCCGGGGATAGAATCCAAGTCAGCTGCATCCAAGGCAGAGTGTTTTTACCACTCTAAGTGACTTATGTACTATCTCTTAGCCCTCATTTTTTATCATATCTTTTTAAAGAAAGAAAATCTTACTGGTTAGACGAAAGATCAATTTTGGAGGCCAGAGGACCAGAGAGATAGAATAAGAGGCGAAAGTGCTTGCCTTATGCATGGCCAACCTTGGCTCGATCCCCAGTACTCCATATGGTTTCCTGAGCGCCCCCAGGAGTGATCCCTGAGCACAGAGCCAAGAGTAAGCCCTGAGCACCACCAGGCGTGGCCCCCAACCCCGTCAAGAGAAAAATAAAATCAGAGGTCAAAAGGACATACAGAAGTTTAAGCTGATTGCAGAACCACATATAGTCCCTTGAGCAGTATCAGGAGTGATCTCTGAGAGCAGAGACAGGAGTAACGCAAACTAAATTCATTTTTTAAAAAATTCAAGCTTGAATTGCTCAGCCTAAAACATAAAAATAAAATTATTCAAAATTAACAGCATCTCGGGGCTGGAGCAATAGCACAGCGAATAGGGTGTTTGCCTTGCACACGGCCGACCTGGGTTAGATTCCCAGCATCCCATATGGTCCCCCGAGCACCGCCAAGAGTAATTCCTGAGTGCATGAGCCAGGAGTAGCCCCTGTGCATCGCCGGGTGTGACGCAAAAAAAAAAAAAAAAAAAAATTACAGCTTTTCTGGAGTCAGAGAGAGTATAGCAGTTAAGGCATTTGCCCAGCACCCGGAAAATCTGGATTTGATCCCCACACCCCATGAGGTCTCTCCAGTCCCAACGAGAGTGATCGCTGAGGTCAGTGGCCAGGTAGGGCATGGGAACCACTGGGTAGCAGCCTCAAAACAAAACAAACAACAAAGGACTTACCAACCTCTGTTTCGGGGTTAGTTGTTTTTCGTTTTGTTTTTAATTAAAAAAAATTTTTTTTGGCTTTTTGGGTCACACCTGGTGATGCTCAGGGGTTACTCCTGGCCCTGCATTCAGGATTTACTCCTGGCGGTGCTGGGGCAGGGTTGGGGGTGCTGGAAATTGAACTCTGGTTGGCCTCTTGCAAGGCAAACGCTCTACCGGATTTACTACCACTCTGGCCCCTTGGGGATAATTTTAAATGATTTGCTGTGTCTTTTTTAATAAGTTCAGTGCCAAAGATTTGTCTGTAGAAATAGAGAGCAAATGATTTTTCTCCCAGTAAACTTACTTTGAATCGAGAAGCTCGAATGCAGTCAATGGGTGCAGTGGAGGCCACTGTTGAAGCAATGTGTATGTTTTCTTAAGATTAGCCCATTTCCAGTTTGGGGCACTTGCTAGTACTTTAGGAAGACAATTTGGATGTTTTAGACAATAATAACGTTTATCCCATAAAAATGCCTTATCTTCTTTAGAAAGTCTACAAAGAAAATAGAATTACTTTTCAGTGATACCATAATGGGTTATAATTTCAGTGACTCATTTTAGACAACTATTTAGTAGTAGAATCATTAATACTAATTTGCAATTTTTTAAAAAAAATTGAAGTACAATAAACATCACTAAATTACTCTAATTTAAAAATTATTAAATTCTGGCAAGAACTTTAGTTATAAAAATAAAGGATAGCTAAGTATAATAAAAATCATTGAGCTTTAACCAAGAGTTAGAAACTAGAAATCAGAGAAAAACAGAACACACTCTAAGACTTCATTTTATAGGAATAAAATCAAATGTCATGCAAAAATTAAAATGCTATTATAAATTTTAGGGGTTTAAATAGCTCAAGTGGGAAATACTCAAAATGAAAACAAAGTCTTTTGTAGATTCTAATTTAATCCTAATTACAAACGTTCACATCAATGAAATACATCACTACCCAGTCATTTACTTTCATTTTTAGAAGACCGGCACTAGTCATCTAATGTGCAATGCTAGAAAATTTCAAATACTGCAAAAAAGATACATAGTGAAGTCTACTTCCAATTTCCCTTCCAGTGGCAAATGCCCAAGCTAATCTATTTATGCAGAAGAACATACATAGGTATCTAGAAATTATTTTTCCTATACGTTAATGGTAACATTCTTTGTACACTATTCTATTCCTCATCTTCTTCACCAAACATGTCTTGAATATTTGTGTGTGTGTGTGTGTGTGTGTGTGTGTATGAAACTTAATTAGTAATAGGTACATGGTAATGTGTTGGATAAATATAACATAATTGTATACCTAATTGCAACATAACCTACTGATGAAAATTTTCTATCAGTTTTTCAATAATAAATGCTGTCATGAAAATGCTTGTTAATAGAAGCAAATATAAAAGAATTTCCACTAAGATATATAACTGGATGTTGAACTGCTGGCTCACAGATCATGCACAGTGACCTTTACAGATTTTGTCAGATTGCTCTCCAAAATTTTTAGAATTCAACAAATAAGAATAATTCTCCATTTTTCTGTATTCTCTCCAACACCATATGAACCATTTCAATTTACACAATCTTGATATGCATGAAATGGTACCTTGTACAATTTTACATTTATTTTGTAACTGAAAGGTATTTTTAGATGCTTGAAAGACACTGTACTTTTCCAAGAAATTACTTTTCCATGTTCTTTGTCTATTACTAAGTGATCTGCTTTTCTAACTGATATAAAAGGGTTCTTTACTTATCTATGGAATAATTTATGATTAAATAAATCAATCTGTAGACATTTACTGTAAATATAGCTTCCAGACATTAAGACTGAAGAACTTAATAAACCATAAACTTCAGTTTTACACTGTAGGAGACAAAACAGAATTAAAAGAAGCAAAACAAAATCACAGGAACAAAAAGGATCAATGTACGATACCCAAAAGATGAGTCTCTGTGAAGAATATCAAGAAGTTTTCCTTTGATATCATTCTCCAGTGTTTCTAAGTTGTGTTGCTGCATGATACTTTTGTCAACTTGTGGAGTAGTATAAATGATGTCAAATGTAGGAGAAGGAAAATCAACCTTAAAAGTTTAAGAGTTGAAAGCTATTCAAAAGTCTACATATTTCCCACATTAAACATATCTGCCATATTGAACTTCTTACTTTTGAAAACAATTTTTTTTGTTAGCCATTAAGGTGTTTTTCTTAGGGGGGTGGGGCAGGAAGGGGTTAGGCTATACCTAGCGGTGCTCAGGGCTTACCCCTGGCTCTGCACTCAGGGATCATTCCAGAGATGCTCAGAGGACCATCTGGAGTGCAGGGACAGAACCCAGGATGCCCTTGTGCAAAACAAGCACCTCCTGCTGTACTATCTTTCCAGCCCCTTTAAGGTGATTTTTAGACCAATTATCAAACCAAATTACCATTGCTGGCAATTTTAAATAGCATATATATTGCTTGGAATGTGTATAATGTATTTTTCACTATTTCTAAAAATAGAAACTACTAGTTTATTATTTTTAAATTGAAGACAGAGGCTAGAGGGATACCCCAATGGACTGGATCACTAACTCTGCATGTAGGAGGCCTGGTTCAATCCCTAGAACCACAATGTCTCCCAAACAGCTAGGAGTGACCTTTGAGTACTAAGTCAGAAATAGTCTCCTTGAGCCCAAACCACCTCCCATCCTAAATAAATTAAACAAATTGAAGAAAGACTAAACAAAATTAATTAGACTTAACAACAATCCTGATCATGATCTACATATACTTTAGACACAGAACTTAAAGCCAATGTCAGGAAGAACCATTACCTGTAACACTATTCTTTCCATCACATATCCTTTTTTGGGAATTGTTCCAGAAACAGGATTCGTATGTGATGAAGTCCAAAGATACAGAAGCTTAGTTCCACATGTTAAAAACCTTTATGAACGTAAACAGAAAAGTAACATGTTTTCACTTTAAAGGTACATTCCAAACTCCCAAAGCATGGAATTAAATTGGTAATGGTAGAATTTATCCCTTTATCCTCTACATAATATAATAGAATTTATGCTCTGCATAATAAAAAAGATGGTTATATACCAGGAGGCACCCTACAGTGTGCTGAGATAAATGTACTGAAGTGCACAGGTTGGAAAAAGTGAGGAGGAATAAAAGGACTTGTCTTGGAAGGAACAGGGTTAAGGAGAGATCACAGATGGGAAAAGATCCGAGAGTCATTTGTCTCCAAAACATCTTACATAAAAAGATCAAGAATAGCTTTGAAAATCATCTACAAAGAAAAACACCTCAAGGTGGTGATCCAGGTTACAGAATACCCCCTGACTTTTACCATGAGTGGGAAAAAAGCCCAACACATGTCAAGAAAACCAGTGTATACTTAGTGGCAAAGCACCAATCATTTGAAATGAGAAGTTCTGTTCATGTTCTAAACCAGGTGTCAGCAAACTTTCTGTAAAGAACCAGGTAGTAAATATTTTTGGCATCCTAGGTGGGTCTATTATAGACTCAGTTCTGCTGTAGAATAAAAGTAGCCACGAACAATACATAAATGACCATATACACTGTGTTCTAACAAATCTATTATTTACAAAAATCAAGAGGCATATTACATTAACATATTACCCTTGTACCAAATTACACACTTTTTTGTGTATCTTAGGGAACAGAGAATACTTGCCAACTAAAAACGCTTTTTGGGTCACACCTGGCAATGCACAGGGTTTACTCCTGGCTCTGCACTCAGGAATTACTCCTGGCGGTGCTTAGGGGGACCATATGGGATGCTGGGAATCAACCCAGGTCGGACGCATGCAAGGGAAACACCCTACCCACTGTGCTACCGTTCCAATCCCCTATCACCTTAAAAACACCTTAACCTTCAATTACATTAAGGCAAATTCTGGTAATTTATCTGTAAATCTGTAAATAACAAACATTTTTGTTCTAAAATATACAATGGTACAATACCATTATCATTTCTAAAATAACTGACAGTATCTATTGCTGCTTTTGCCTATGTTTTCATATTTTAGATGAATTTCATGGCCTGCAAAGTCTAAACTTTCTCTACTTTGATCCCCAGTACAGAAAAAATCTTGATTTTCTAGTTTTAGTTGAGACATTCTTTCTCTCTGCCACCGAACAAACCAGGACTTTTGTTCTAAGAATTTTCTGCTTGCATTTCCTTTATTATGGCCCTTTATTTTCCTGTGGTTTCTATAAAGTAGTTGCTAGATTTAGAGGCTTAATCAGATTAAGAGTTATTTATATGGCAAGAATACTTAACACCTTAGAGGTGGCACTGTACACTATCTGCTATTACCTCAAAGAGAGAAACACATTATTTGGTTTTTTGTTCTACAATGTTAAAAGGACCACTTTGTTTAGGTGTTATGAGTCTAAATCAAACATTTTAAGTTCCAGAAAAGTTAATAGCTGAATGGTTTAAAACAGGCATTCATAACCACTGTGAAAATCAATACCAATTTTTGGGTTTTCTTGTTGCTCTTGTTACAGTTTCAGAGATCAAATCCAGGCCCTTATTAAAAAAGGTACAGCAGAATTCTGTAACTGATCTGTAATCCCAAGCCCAAAATCAATAGTTTTTTGTTTGTTTGTTCTTCAGGTCATACGTGGCAGTGCTCAGGGCTTACTCTTGGCTCTGTGCTCAGGGAGCACTCCTGGCTGTACACGGGAAATCACACAATGTTGGAACCAGGATTGGCTGCTTGCATGGCAAATGCCTTAAACCTGTACCAGCTCTTTGGCCCCCGAAGTAATAGTTTTTAACCAAAAATGATTCTGCCTCCGAGGAACATTTAGTAATGTCTAAGGACATTTTTGGTCGGCAAGTATTCAACTTTGGAGTAGTACACAGGAAAAGCATATGTCAAGAGCAAAATTTTCTGAGTTATGAACATTGCAAGATTTTAATAAATGACAAAATCAATCTGTGCTTGTCATTTAAGAAAAATAAAGAGGCAGATTAAAGTATTTTATTCTAATTTTAAATTGTTTTAATGTTAAAATATTTGCCCTATCACATGTTAAACAGATCACTTACCAAATTCTTTCCCAAAGTGTCTCATGGGACAAATGTTTCAAGAGATGTGGTAAAGAAAATGAAAAATGGGGGGCTGGAGCAAAAGTATAGCAGATACATGATTTGCCTTGCAAGCAGCCAACCCAGGGTGAATCCCTGGCATCCAATATGGTCCCAGAGCCCTACCAAGAGGGATTCCTGAGTGCAGAGCCAGGAGAAAGCCCTGAACATCTTTGGGTGTATGCCAAAAATAAAAAAAGGAAAAAAGAAAATGAAAACTAAAAGTACCAAGGTAGCAAATAAATCTGAAAATGGCCATGTGAGATAATAATTACACAAACTAGAGATCTAAAACCACCCAGATTCAAATCCCAATTCTAAGATTTACTATCTAAGTGTTGTCAGGCAAATTATCTAAATTCTCTATGCACTGATTTTCTCCTTTGTAAAAAAGGATGACAAATGTATAGCAGACTAACATCTAGTAAATTAATACAAAGTGTCTTTTATTAGTTAACACTCTTATTAAAAACAAAAGACTTCATAACTGTGATGTTGAGATATTTTACCATACTAATGTGCTATGCATATCACTCTCCAAAACATAATCATGCAATAAAACATATTGCAGATTTATTAACTAATTTTTTTCATTTAAGAAGACTCTGATAGGCTAAAGGAACATATTATTATTTAAAACAATCAGAATTATCATCTGAAAGGACATCATCTTAGATTATATTATCCCATTGGCTATGAAGAGGCACAAGCTCAAAAGGAATTCCTAAACCCCTAGATATAAAATGATACTTTGCACATAGGATGGATTTTTGGAACTGTGGAATTATACCAGTAATATACAGTGAGTACATAAGAGACACAGTGAGCAGGGTGCTGCTTTTCTGTGTGATTATTTGATTATTTTCAAATAATCTAGTGGAAATCCATATATGGATATCCAAACTATAGCAGAATATTGGTTTCCTCTGATCTGTAGCTCTGAAACGCTCTCTTTCATTACACTGGAAAAGCTGAGGAAGACCCTTTCTCATATATAATGTTCTCCACCCTATTAGCAAACTGATTCCAATACAAGAAGCCATGTCTACAGTAGCTCATCATCATAACTCATACTTACCGCTTAAAGTCAAAAAGAGGTAAAGAAACTTTGCCCAAAGTTTCTGGTCCCTTCCTCTGCTTATTAGAGTCAGGGGAACTTCCACTGCTTTGATTTAAAATTCCAAAAAGAGTGAGGTGAAGAAGTGATTCTAATGGCAACTGTGATATCTGGATGGGAAAAATGATTCTACGAGGGGGAAAAAATGTATTAATATAGAGAACAAATATATTCAATATTTAGCCAATAATAAGGCTGACAATTTTTAACCCATAAGAAGATTAACTTATCAAACACTCTTGAATCCTGAGTAATAACTATAAGCTTTTCTAACTTGTACTATAGAAATTTTAAATTCTTTCATATTTCAGACATATTTCATCATTCTTCAAAATTCTGTTATGGGGTCTCAGAGATAGTATAGGGCTGAGGCACTTGCTGACCAGTGTTCACCCATATAGTGCCCCAACCACTGCAGAGTGAATCCCGAGCACAGAGTAAGGAGTAAGCCATGAACACTGCTGGGTAAGGCCCAAACATGAAACATTTTAAAACAGTAAAAACCTTGAAAATCTGTTACTGGCCATTACTTGCACATTGCAATGTCAATATCTAGACAAAATACTACTAGGTTTGTTTCCTTTAAGGAAAACTGGGAGTTTAGTGTGACCTTCTGAGTAAGGATGAAGTGTATGTTTACATATCTACACAATATGACACACAGACTTGCCAATGCATATTTTTTAAATCTGAAAGAGTATGAAAGGCTAATTGTGATCACTTAGAGGAGGCCACAAGACGGTGTTAAAAATACAGTCACATATTTTTACCCTATGTATATTTCTGTATCATTTGGTCATTTCTCATAGACATGCTTTATTTTTGTAACTTAAAAAACTAAGAGGGCCAGAGAAACAGGTAGGGCACTTGCCTTATCACAATCATTGCCAAGAGTGGCCCAAAACAACAGGATCAACAAAAAGCCCCAGAAAGAGGGCTAAGGATTGGGGCTCAAGTAGTAGAACTCATGTCTTTTCCTATGTGAGGAACTGGATTCAATTCAATGTGAGCACTGCACAGGGAGCACTGCATAACATGGTGCTGGGGTCCACTCCTCCCCCAATACTGCCGGATGTGTAATTACCACTCCAGCATGACAATAAAAACAACTAAATTAAAAACAAAGAAAAAAATTAGAACCATTTAGTAAGTGCAAAAAAAAAAAAAAGTTAAAAATTGCTTTACAATGCAACCAACTTGGGTGTAATTCCTGACACTGCATATGGTCCCCTCTCAAGCACAGCCAGAGGTCACCCCTGAGTCAGGAATAGCCTGAGCACTGCCAAGTGTGACCAAAAATAACAAAACCACAACAATAATTTTATCTGTTAATACTGATTTGTGGGGTCTTTTTATCTGTATGAGCCCATATATACACTGTTATAGTGCAAATATTAACAGTGTGATCAAATACCATCTTTAGAACATTATCTGTAAATGTATGTCTTATTTCTGCTGCTGCTGCTCTTGTGGTGCCAAGGATCTCATACATGAAGGCACGCGCTCCCCCACTGAGCCATGGTCACAGCCATGAAACTTCTATAGTTAACTTGAGGGAGACTAAGAATAAATGGCATGCATCTGCGATTAAAGATAAAAATATAGATTTAGAAACAACAAATTTGTGAAAGACAAATTGAAATGTAGATTTAAATGTATTTCTGATTTTTAAGTGAGAATTTCAGACTTTTATAGACTAGATGAAATTTTTTAATATGGCAGAATTAGTGAATTTTAATATAAATTCTAATAAAAATGAAAGCTAGGAGCACACATATGAGGGGGGAAAGGGGGTTTAACAAAAGAATAAAAAGCCAGAAATTTCACTTACAGTTCATCCCATTTAATAAGATAGAAGAAATTCTTATAAGTGCCAACCTTCTTTGATTGAATAGGTTTAAAAAGATCCTTTCCATTGTGAGACAGGGAACATATCAAGTAGTATTTTTCGTAACTGGAAAAGTTTAATTTGAAATTAAACAAATTAGTTAACTGATTCAAAAAATTAGTTAACTGATTCAAATATGTATTAGCCATTCTTCCATAAAAGTAACTATAACCTGAAATAATTTTGTCACCATTCCATTTGAATTTCAGTACAACACTTGATATTTAACCACCGCAAATCCCATAAAAATAAGGAAGTTGTCTATCAGAAGGAGTCCAGAAGGCCAAAGCAACAGTACCGTGGGTCGGGTGTTTGCCTTGCACATGGGCTGACCCAGGTTTGATACTGGCACTGCAGAGGATTCCCTGAGCAGAGTCAGGAATCAGCCCTAAGCACCGCCACGTGTGTCAACACACAGACACACACACCCCACCCAGCAAAAAAAAAGGAGTACAGAAAGGAACACATGCTTAAGAGCCTCATAATGATACGAGTTACAGAATTTATCTCAATTCAGTTCATTTACAAAAGTTCAGTTAAAAATTTTAGATATAAGCTGAATTACCCTGAGTAATTATTAATTTCTCGGTAAATTTTAGGAACAGAACACAATTTCTTCCCTGGGTGCTATTTCCTCTGTAAAGATTGCCAACTCCTGGGTTTATGGCCATCAGGGACTAAACCATGTGATTGTAAAGTGACACTACTACACCGCCATCGGTTACTAGAAGCTCCCCTCCTGAGCTCCCCAGCCCCCAGACAAAATCTTGACACTGCCCACGTTCTCTTACTATGTTTCTCTTTTCCCCCACATGTAAGAGAGATGTGCTTCTGGTTTTTTGTTTTGCTTTTGGTGGAAGCGGTGACACCTACAAACATACAGATGAGATCATCTGAAATTCCACAAAATCATAATGAAAAAATTCTATTTTTTAAAAACTGAATCTCCTTTTTAAAGGTATATAAAGACTATCATGGAAAATTCTGCACTGATGCACTTTCAGGTTTACATGGAATAGGCAAATCCTACAAATATAAAATTTAGTAAGATTAAAGAGAATTTAAAAATTTGGAGGCCAGAGCAATAATTCAACAGGTATGACACTTGTCTTGCATGTGGCCAAATCCAGGTTCGATCCCTGGCACCCCATATGGTTCCCCAAGCCCACCAGGAGTGATCCCTGAGTGCAGAGCCAGGATTAAGCCCTGAGCAGTACTGGGTGCAGCCCACAAAGAAAACAAAAAAACAAACAAACAAAAAAAAATTTTAAGGGAAAAATCTGAATAAGTCTATAAAAGTACTAAGTGTGTTTTATTCTAAGAAAGGGAATATAGCTTCATATCAGAAAATATTTAAATTAATGCTTAAATGTCTGCAGTATTAAGTAAAAGACTGAATAAAAATCTCTATGAATATGTTAAAAGAAATAATCAGACATAGAATATCCTAATATAATATTCTATATAAATGAGGCAATAATTTGTTACCGAAAATATATATAATCCCTCAGCAGGCTAGGAATAAACATACCTTTTGTTTTAACACGGGGGGCGGGTGTGGGGGTTTGGAATCACAGTGAGCTGTGTTCAGAGATTACTTCTGGCTCTGCACTCAGGGATCACTCCTGGTGGGGTTCACGGTACCAGGGTAGCCTGGCTGCATGTAGCCATACCCACTATACTGTCACTATGGCCCCAAACGTACCTTTCTCACTCTAGCAAAGGGCAAGTGTAAGTGCTGTGAGGGAGTACTCAGTGCCATGTGTTGGGGAGTTTGTGAGACTGATTTTTTTAAACTGATTTTTAAATTTTTAAGCAAACATATTTTTTTAACTTAAAAAACTAAGAGGGCCGGATAAAGGGGTAGGGTTCCCCAGAGGTGTTCAGGGCTCACTCCTGACTCTGCACTCAGGGACGGTTTCTAGAAGGCTCAGGGAACCATATGGGGAGCCAGGGATCAAACCTGGGCCAGCTGGGTGCTAGGCAAGCACACTACCCACTGGTCTATCACTCTGGCCCCACAAGTTTATTTTCTTCTATGATACATTTAAATACCAAGATAACAGTAGATGCTGACTTGGTCAGAATTCAAGTTAAAGTAGCTTCTAGGTAAACCTGTGCCATGCATATTTTCTTCTGAACAATAACTTACTTTGATACCCAGTTACTTGAAATCCCATGTGCAGCAAAAACAGTAAACTGGAGTTGTTCTGTGGTGGTCCATGCTTCCTTGACATTTCTGTCACTCTGGGCACAATCTGCAGGATTCCAACCAGAATTGGCATGGAGTTTGAGAAGATCATAAATTGCTGCTGTTAACTGGTCCAGGCTTATTTGAATAGGATTTTCAGGGTTCGTTGAGCCTAGAATTTTCAAAAAATTGTTAACTATCCAGAAAAGAAAATATTTGTCAAAATTTAAAAAAACTTTAAGACATACCCTGGGATGAATTCCTGCTACTGTCTCCTTCTCCAGACAATGAAGTCACCTGCATACAAACAAATTATTAAAGAACTCCCATGATATAATGTAAAATGCTTGTCTTTTTTCTTTACACTGAATTAAGTGCCTTTTTAAGGAATTCCTTCAAAGGATAAAAGTTTTCATAAAATAATGCAAAATGAGACTGAAAACCTCAGATCAAATAAACACAATTTTTAATAGCAGGAAAACCAGAATAGCTGAAAATTACTATAATACATTAATATATAAATTGAACAAAATCTACTATACTAAAACAACTGGAAACTATGAATATACTAATACGGTATTTTATTTTTCCATTAGTAGCTCTCCTATCAGCATGGTAAGAATACCTTTAAAGAAACAAAAATTTCTAAAAACAAACAATGAAAAAGAAAGAGCATAAAAGAGATCCAAGCTTCTGGATACTATAAGAATAAGATGGGGTCAGAGCGATAGTTCCGCGGGGAGGGCATCTGCCTCGCACACAGCCAATCCAGGTTCAATCCCTGGCATCCCATATGGCCACCACCAGGAATAATTTCTGAGTGCAGAGCCAGGAATAGCCCTGAGCATCACTGCGTGTGACTAAAAAAAGCAAAAAACAAACAAACAAAGAATAGGGTATCATTTGAGGGATATACCATCAATAATTTTTCCTTCCTTTAAATTTATTGTGCCTGGGGCTGGAGTGATAGCACAGCGGGTTGCCTTGCACGAGGCCAACCCAGGTTCAATTCCCAGCATCCCATATGGCCCCCTGAGCACCGCCAGGAGTAATTCCTGAGTGCATGAGTCAGGAGTAACCCCTGTGCACTGCCAGGTGTGATCCAAAAAGCAAATAAAAAAAAAATTTATTGTGTCTTGTGACCCATCCTCCAGTAATAGCTACAAGCACTCCATGTATGAAATTCCATGCAAGAAGAGTGTGGAAAACTTTTAGTAAGTTCTCCATAAACCATCAACATAAAATACCAGGAGAACACCTCAGCTACTTGCTTCCAAGCAGTTAAGTCCCAATATTGAAGTTTCTTTCCAACACAGACAAGGAATAATCCAGAGTAGAACTTCTTCCATTGGCAGTCATGCACACTTAAATCCAGGGGCAAGAATGGGGTGATTACTGATTACCATTCAGGTTCTTTGCAGGCTTAGTGTTTACTGAAAAACCCAACTAGCTCTTGAAAGGTTTATATACACAAAAGGCTAACAATGTCAGCTGTAATCTTTTTCCTCTTAGGCCCTGTCTAACTTACAAAGTAAGCAAACCAACTCAACGTTGGTTTGAAAGCCAGTTAAAATAAACTTTCATCCATGAGAAACAAAAAATTCCCAGCTGAAGTGATAGATGAGCACCTGAGCACAAATCTGTATGTAATGATATGCTAATTATGAAAAAATACTCACGCCAGAACTTTTACTCCGTGGAAGATTAACTGCTCTCTTTAGCCTCTTTATTGATTCGGTAATGGCAAGAGTCTCGACACCATCCAAAGCACTGCAGATTTTTCTTACAGCTTTAATTACCTGATCTACAGCTCGGTGCTGGTTCTTTTAAGAACAGAAAATAAAACAAACGTAAGCATGTGGAATCTAAAGGGTCACTTTCAGAGAGGAAATCGAAATAGAAATTTTACTTATGCCTAAAGACACAAATTATTTGCTCTTCTCATAGAAAATAATACAACTTTTTAATTATACTCTTGAAACAAAAAATAAAAATAAAAATAGGTCCAGTTATTTTTCACTCTGCCTGACACATTATGAATATGTAAAGACCTTAATTTTTCATATTAGAGCCAGATATAGGTCAATAAATTATTAATAAATTACTACAGAGGATCAAAATTAACCACAGCTCATTTTACTGGATCGCCTTCACACAAAACATGCATTCTAATCTACTGAACTTTCTCTCTCTTTGGACCCCTCCTGCAAAACTGTGTCTAAAACACATGTTTGGTGGCAGGATGGAATGACAGTGCAGCAGCTGGTAAGGCACTTGCCTTGCACCTGGCCCACTTGGGTTTGATCCCCGACACCCATATGATCTCGAAAGCCTGCCAGAAGAGTGCAGAGCCAGGAATCAAGCCCTGAGCACTGCTGGGTGTGGTCCACAAACTATCCAAAAACACAAAGAAAAACAAGTTTGAGCCAGACAGATAGTTCAATGGTCTGGAGCACATGCTTTGCATGAAGAAGGCCAGATTAATTTCCAGCCACTGAATGGTTTCAAAAATTTCTAGGAACATCCCTGACCACTAAAGTTTGTGTCATCCCTTCCCCAAAAGTGGGAAGAGGAGGGCCACAAATAAAACCCAGATTCCTCAGACGCTAACATACTGTAACAACAGCAAATCGTGACTCAAACTTAATCACTTGCACATATCTGGCCCTGACTTTATCAAACCAGTTAATTTCACCATAATTCTGAAGTATATAAGGAGGCTGTAGAGACTGCCCAAGAAGCTAGTTTTTTTGGGGGGTCACACCGGGTGATACACAGGAGTTACTCCTGGCTCTGCACTCAGGAATTACCCCCGGCAGTGCTCAGGGAACCATATGGGATGCTGGGAATAGAACCCAGGTCAGCTGCCTGCAAGGCAAACGCCCTACCTACTGTGCTATTGCTCCAGCCTCACAAGGTGTATTTTTATTTGTTTTGGAGGGGCTACACTCAGCTGTACTTAGGCCTTACTTCTGCAGGGACCATAAGAGATGGTGGGGATCAAACCTAGCTTGGACCTGTGAAATGCACCACCCAACACGTCATATTGCTTCATCCCCCTAAATACAAGTCTTGTAAACAAGAAGCCCAAGTTTGATCCCCATGAGTAACCTCTGAGCACTATTGGGTTTGTATACATTTTCAAATGTATTATAAAACTGTCTAGCCAATGGCTTAAGAAATCTGCTACTCTTCCGACACAATTTTAAAGTACAGGGACTGGAGAGATGGTACAGGGGAAAAAGAGCAGGCAGGGCCTCACATATAGGCCCCCAAGCATCATCAGGAATAATTCATAAGTGTAGAGGCAGGAGTAACAACTGAGCATTGCCAGGTACGGCCCCCAAACAAAACAATAAACAGTTTTAAACAACAAGTTTTAAATTTTTTTTTTTATTGAATCACTGTGAGATAGACCCTTACAAAATTGTTTATGATTGGATTTCAGTCATATAGCATTCCAACACCCATCCAGTGTACATATCCCAGCACCAGTGTCCCTAGGTTCCCATCACCCCCCACCCACCTCTATGGCAGGCACCTCTCTCTCTCTCTCTCTCTCTCTCTCTCTCTCTCTCTCTCTCTCTCTCTCCTCTTCTTTCCTTTCTCTCTCTCTCTCCTCTCTCCCCACCTTTTTCTCTCCTTCCCTTCCCCTTTCTCCTTTTGGGCATTGTGGTTTGCAATACTGATCCTCAAAGGTTATTAAGAAAATTCCTTTACCTACTTTTAACCCTCAGATCTTGTCCAGAGTGATTATTCCCAGTTACTATTGTCATACTGATCTCTTCTCTGTCTCACCTACCCTCAGCCCCATACACATTTGTGGTTAGTTCCAACCATTGACCAGTTCTCCTAACCCCTGTTTTCCCTGGCCATGGATATTAACTAAAGAACAGTTTCAAAGAATATTTAGAAACATTCTTACATAATGAATTAATTCATCAAATATTTAAACGAATTTGTATGCCAATACGGTTAGAATGGGCTGAAACTTAGTACTGCTGCATCGCTTAAAAATTTAAATTTTCCACTACTGGGTGGATAAACTAAATGTTTCCTTCACCTTCAAACCACCTCAAATACCCAATTACCCTGCACTTCTCGGGGCCAAAGGTGTTTGTTGTTGTTGTTTTAATTTTTATTAGTGAAACACCATGAGGTACAGTTGTAGACTTACAGATTTTTGTGCTTGGGTTTCAGTTATACAATGATCGAGTACCCATTCCTCTACCAGTGCCCATTCTCCACAACCAATGATCCCAGTAACCCTCCCCCCCTCCATTCCCCCCCCCCCCCCCCCCCCCCCCCGTGGCAGGGCATTCCCTTTTGTTCTCTCTCTCCTTTTGGGTTCAGTGGTTTGCAAAAAAGGCATTGAGTGGCAATCATGTTCAGTCTATAGTCTACTTTCAGCATGTATTTCCCATCCTCCCAACACCCTTTATTTGGTGCTCCCTTCTCTATCTGAGCTGCCTTTTCCCAGGGCCAAAGGTGTTTTGGAGCTACACTTTTTTGCTTGTCTATTTTTGTTGTTGCTGTTTTTTGTTTTGGGGCCACATTCAGTGGTGCACAAGGGCTCAGGGATCAATCCTGACAGCCTCAGGGGAACATATGGAATGTGTGATTAAACACAGGTTGCAAGGCAAGTACTCCACCCACTGCACCACCACTCAAGCTGCAGTTACTTTTATATTAACCTTCGTGCAAAAACCTTTCCAATTCAGAAGTCCATGCCATCCTCATGTACCGTTAAATCAACCTTTGTGTGCCAGTTATCAGTTTAAGGCCCCTCAATTCCAAATCCTCCCTTCTCTTGTCTACTTTGTAGGTACTAGAGAGCTAACCTTATAAAAATTTCTCCTTTACAAGTTGGTATAATGCTAGGTTTTGTCATCCAAGAGTGCTTAAGATACGGAATACTCCAAGGCAACATGAAAACATTTATCAGGGTTTTGGTCCTCGATTTTTAAACTCTGCATGAAAGTTCCTCAGTGAACAGTCTCAGTGGGAGTTGTGTTGCGTCTCAGTGGAGTGACCTGGAGTTTCTCAGGTCACTTGAGAAAGTTAGTTCCATGGGCCGGGGAGACAGTACAGTAGGTAAGGCACTTGTCTTGCATGCAGCTGACCCATTTCTGATCCAAGCCTCCCATAGCATCTGCCCCATATCCCTTCCCCAACTCCAGTCCACCAGGAATAATCCCTGAGTGAAAAGCCAGGAGTAAATTGTGTGCACATCTGGTTGTGACCACAAAACAGAAAAAGAAAACAAAAAAAAAAGAAGAAAGAAAAAGTTACTTTCAGGCTGAAGTTGGGGGGGAGACAGGGGAGGGAGGAAGTGGAGAAGAAGGAAAAGAAGGAGAAGGAGAAGAACAAAGAACAAAGAAAGTACTATAGTTTAAATGTCCACTATTTGGTGACCAGATAACATGTTATGTGTTCATATAATGGATGTACTCAGCAATTAAAAAAAGGAAACAAACTATGGTCACATTGTAGCACTACACTGCACTGTCCTCCCCTTGTTCATGGATTTGCTCAAGCAGACACCAGTAACGTCTCACAAAAATTGTGAGACTTGTTCTTACTGTTTTTGGCATATCGAATACGCCGCAAGGAGTTTGCCAGGCTTTGCCTTGCGGGCAAGATACTCTCGGTAGCTTGCTGAGCTCTATAAATAAGGATCAAGCATAAAAACAGCATATGTGAAAGAAATCATAAATAGAAGATAAGATGATAGAGTATATGATTTCACTTAAATGAAATCTTCCTATTAAAGACAAATCTACAGAAATAGGTATCAAATAGGTCAATGTGTAGGCTTATGCTAGGAATGAGGAGAAACTATCCATGGGAATTTCTAGGAAAGATTTCCAAAGTTCTAAAAGTGGATTCTGACTATAATTATTCAACTCTTTTCCTTTACTAAAAAAAAAAAAATCACTGAATTATAACTTTATGGGTAAATTTTATGTAATATAAGCTATATTTCAATAAGTATGCAAAACAGGGAAAAATTATGAAAGTACAACTATTTTAGTTTAAGATGTTCAGTGAAAGCTATGACTTTTTTTTTAATGTAGGAGTACTGCTATTTATTCAGACACTGATTAGCTGATTGAATTGTGCATGAACTCCACCTTACTTTTTTTTTTCATTTTTTATAATTTTATTTATTGAATCACAGGGAGAGCAGTTACAAAGCTTTCGGGTCTAAGTCTCAGTCATACAATGAAACACCGTACCTTCACCAGTGCCCATTCTCCACCACCAAAAAAACCCCAGTATACCCCCATCCCACACTCTACCCCTACCTGTGGGGCAGATGATTTATTTCCACATTAGTCTCTCTCTACTTTGATCACATTCAATATTTCGACACCAAACCCACCATTATTATTTGAGATTTTACCCCAACACTCAGATCTGCTAAAAAGGCAACAGTAGACAATTTGTGTTCTATTGCTGGTTATGAATAACATATGATGTCGCATGGCTGCAGTTGGGCCATGTGATTTTGAAATTCTGAAATTTTAACACTTAAATCTGGAGGGATTTCTGCCAAAAGCCACTGGGTTTCGAGATTTGCTCCTGAGTCTCTGGGATCATGGCCGTTGAGCAGCTTGATCAGGAGCCAGAGAGGCTGTTTGTGGGCGATGACTTGGGGTCTCGTTGGGGTGGGGAGGACAGGCTTGGCTCCCCGCCCCCCCATCCGGTGAGACCCAACAAGTTTCGTCACTGCGGGCCCAAGCCTGACTATCCAATGGCCTCCAGAGGATGACGGCCACCGAGCCGCCAGGGGGAAGCAGGCAGAGGGACAGCACCCTTTTCCCCTTGGGGTGGCCCGGCGACAGTACCGTACTACGGGGTCCGGATGCAGTTCTGCCAAAAGCCACTTGGTTTCGAGGTTTGTTTCTGAGTCTCTGGGATCATGGCCGTTAAGCAGCTTGATCAGGAGCCAGAGAGGCCGTTCATGGGCGATGACTTGGGGTCTCGTTGGGATAGGGAGGACAGGACTGACTTGCCCCCCTCCATCCCGTGAGAGACCCTGCATGTCTCATCACTGGGGGCCCAAACCTGACTGTCCGATGGCTTCTGAAGGATGGCGGCCACTGGGCCGCCAGGGGGAACAGGCCAAGGCATGAAACCTATTTCCACCTGGAGTAGCCCAGCACTGTTAACCTACTGCAGGGACCAGACGCATTTCTGCCAAAAGCCGCTGGGTTTCCAGATTTGTTTCTGAGTCTCTGGGATCATGGCCATCAAGCAGTTCAATCAGGAACCAGAGAGGCCATGCCTCCAATTATATAGCTGAGCCGGAGGTGGTTTGTGAGTGTGTTTCCCACACACCTAACTTTTGGCCATTTACTTTCTTGGTAAACCTTGCCCCAAGTTTTTGGGGTCTGGCCAAAGGCACAGTGGCAATTTTGCGGTATCTGAAAGTCTGAAGGCGCCATCAGGCTGCTGATGCACTCGCCTCACAGGTACAGACTGACTTGCTGGCGGCACCATACCCCCAGAAAGCTATGACATTTAAACACAGACCTTAGTGAACTAAACAGCAACTACTGCAAATATTATAACTGACAAGAAATTTGGTAGCAACACAAAGTGGTAACATTCTGAAAGTATTTTCAAGATAGAAATAAGATTATCTCACTGAGGGAGGAGGTTAAAGCCATAGATACAAATTTCAGAGTAATCAGTAGAAGGAAGATAAAATAAAAACCAGAGGTATTTCAGAGCTCAGAATGATGCTCCCTATCTTAACAAAATATAAGTCAAATAGAATTTTCTCTTTAAAATACAATAAATAAACAAGTAGTTTAGGCTTTGTGGGACATGCCATATATGTGCTCTGTTCCATCAACTTAAATCTATGACAGAGCACAAATCCATCACAAACAATATATACACAAACAGGTGTACCGGTGTTCCAACATATTTCACAAAAGTAGGGAGTGGACTGCATCTGCCCCTCTGCAGGATAAGTACAACTAACTTGAATCATAAGGCACTTATACATAACTTAGGTGTGGTTATCTCCAATGTCATCTCCCAATCAATTACATTCTTACTCTAGCCCGGCAAGCTTCCACACAGCAAAGCCTGGCAAGCTCCATGTGTCTCACTCAATATGCCGAAAACAGTAACAGTAACATTAAGTCTCACAATTTGTTGTGAGATGTTACTGGTGCCCACTGGAGCAAATCAATGAGGACAGTGCTACCTACAGTGCAGTGCTACATCATTTACACCACACTGTGTGCTTGTATTCACTTGTCTTGCTCAATTTTCTTCTTGCAAATACTGTTAAAGACGTGGCTCAGGTTCAAAGAAATACACAGCACAAGATAGCTCTGCCCTGCACGCAGCTGAGACTGCAAACCTGGCTCAAATCCCTGGTAGCACACATGATCCCCTAGGCAATGCAGCACACTGCCCCTGAACACAGATTGAGGAGTGGTCCTCGAGCACCACACCACTGGGAGTAGAACCTCCTCACTGACCTCCTCCCCCAAAGACGTGATTAAGACAACATCCCCTAGGATTGGGAGACAGCAGAGGACTGCACAGCTTGCATGTACCCGACCCCGGTACTGCATGGATCCTTCAGTGTAGCTGGTATGGAGCTCTGGTGGTCCCCCAAGCATTGGTGTGGTCCAGCTGGTCCAGTGCCACTTCCTTGAGTTCTCATATAGAACTGCCAAGTAGGCTCTGAACCACTACTTGAGATGCCTTCTGCCTCCATCCCAAGAAAAGTACCTCTTTTTTTGATCTCTTAAATTAGGTGTCTATTGTTTACGCTACATTTACTACTCCATATTGAAATTTAGCTTTATAAATCCAAAATCTATCATATAACATAGGCATTCACTAAAAACTGGGGGAACCATTTGATTTTATTTAGGTTTGGGGTTCATACCCAGTGGACCCCAGAGGCTGCTTCTAGCAGTGCTCAGGGGATTGAACCTTCAAATGCAAACCATGTACTTCGGCCCCTTCAGAATCTTGCCCTCTCAAAAAAAAAAAAAAAAAAAAAAAAAGAAGCCAGGGGCTGGAGCAATACCACAGCGGGTAGGGCGGTTGACTTGCATGCGGCCAACCCGGGTTAGATTCCCAGCATCCCAGGTTCCCTGAGCACCGCCAGGGGTAATTCCTGAGTGCAGAGCCAGGAGTAACCCCTGTGCATCGCCAGGTGTGACCCCCCCCCCCAAAAAAGAATCTTTTCCTCTCACTAAATGTTATTTGAACTAAACTGCAGGTTTTTCTTAGTAATAAGACTGAAAAGTAAATATGTTGACTCGGCATTATAAATACTGAGTTATTAAACAAATACCTTTGTTATTAAGTTGGGTAAGGAAAAAGGTCATCAAATACCAATGGAGAATAATTTACATACTCCTAAGATATTTAAGACAATGGCAACTATAGTATTTAACAGAGAACAGAGACAAGAATCTTTAAGCATACCAAAAACTTACCTCCAGTTGAAGAATCAGTTCCACTTGGTTGTGATAAGCATCTAACAGTTCTTCAATGGGGTGTCTGAAATAAAAAATAGTTAAGGTGGCTTAAGAATACAATATAGAGCATATGCTGCCTGAGCCCACGTGCTGCTTGCACCCACGTGGCCGAGCACACAAGTGGTGCCCAAGCACATGTGTTTCCCGCATCTCCTCTCTTGAGATGTGTACTTTCATGCTTTCATGTCTAATGCCAGGATGTGTTCTCCACCCTTGGAGAAGTCCGTGTTCTCTCGAGTACATTACTCTCTCACTCTCTCTCCCTCCACACCTTAAAAATCCTCCAAATAAAATCTATTTTAAAAAATACAATATAAAAAGGGGAGCCGGAGAGATAATAGGGGTTGAGGTGCTTGCCTTGCATGCGACTGGCCCCAGTCCAATTCCCAACACCACATATGGTACCCTGAGCCCCAACAGGCGTGATCCCTGAGCACAGAACCAAAACTAAGGCCTGAGCACAAACCGGTATGGCATAAAAACAAAACACTGTAGTAAAAAGTGATTATATTAACCATCAAAATTCATGTGCAAGGGAAAAGTCTAAAAAGCTGCAACTTTATATGTCATACCTTGTCACGACTTCTTTGTAAGGTTTCTCTATTTGCTGAAGGTGTTTGTTTAAATCCACAGGTGTTTCATCATCCTCTGCCTAAACAAATGAACCCATAAATGTTTACCAAAAGAGAGAAAATCCATTTTCTGGTTTCTTTCTACTGCCAAATTAAATATGACTAAGTCTGTGGTAAGTTCTTAAAACGAAAGTGATTTTCTTCATAACTAGGGATATGAAATATAAAAGATAAAATATTATCCAAATTATTAACTATAAATTGTTCCTAATCAGGAAAAAACTGAGTATCCTGAACAAATTATCTTTTAGGGCTGGAACAATAGTACAGGGGGTTTGCTTTGAGAGCAACCAATTGGGTTTGATCTAGCACAGCGGTAGGGCGTCTGCCTTGCACGCAGCCAACCTGGCCGAGCCAGGTTCGATTCCTCCGCCCCTCTCAGAGAGCCTGGCAAGCCACCAAGAGTATTCAATATGCCAAATACAGTAACAAGAAGTCTCACAATGGAGACGTTACTGGGCCCGCTCGAGCAAATCGATGAACAACGGGAGGACAGCTCCTCTTCCTCAGCACTGGATATGGTCTCCCAAGAACTGGCAAAAGTGATCTCTGAGCAAAGCCAGGAGTTAGCTCTAAATACCACACCAGGTATGACCCAAACACACCCACACACACCCACACACACCCACACCCACACACACATTTTTTAAATGTGCAAATATAAATGCCTACTTTTAAGTCTAGTTTCTGATACTGAAATAGCTCCAAACCAAAAAAAGTTACTTCCAGTCTACATATCCAGGAAATAGAGAGTTAAAAACTCTTTTTAAAAGATAGCTGACAGGTTGGAGACATAGTACAGCAGACTTGCATATGGCCAACTCAGGTTTGATCCCAAGAACCCCGATAGTCCCCCAGCACTGCCACCAGTGATACCTGAGCAAAGAGCCAGGAATAGGCCCTGAGTATCATTCAGTGTGAATCAAAAGTCAAAAAACGGCGGGGGTGGGGACACACAAAAAGTTAGCAGTCAAAAGAAAGTAGAATAGGGACTAAATAGGAAGAGATCATCTAAAGTCCATCTAAAGTCCTTTCTAATGATAATCTTGTTTCCTTCCACTCCTAATGTATAAGGTACCAGCTTTGTTTTTGGTGTCTTTGGGGCCACATCCAGTGGTGTTCAGGGCTTATTCCTAGCTCTGTGCTCAGGGATCACTCCTAGAGGTGCTCAAGGGACCATACTGGGTGCCAAGGACTGAACCCAGTCAGCTGCATGCAAGGAAAGTACCCTACTGGTTGCACTACAGCTCCAGTCCCAAGTTACTAGTTGTTGTTGTTATTGTTTTTTTAATATAGAAAGTTCTTACAGAGCCAGAGCGATAGTGTAGGGAGTAGGTAGGGAGTAGGGTATTTTGCCTTGCACATACCTGACTCAGTTTACTATCCGCCATCCCCTATGGTCTCCTGAGAACTACCAGGAATAATTCCTGAGCCAGAAGTAATCCCTGAGTATCGCTAGGTATGTCGCCCGCAAAAAACACTGTTGGGTCAGAAAGAGAGGGATAGACATAGAAAGATTGCATTCATCTGGGGAACATAAAGTAACAAAATAGGATACTAACACCCAAGAGTGGCCGAGATTAGTACCAGGAATTTTGCTCCATGGCTTGGAGGCCAGACACACTTGCTAGGGGAAAAGGGAGCTCAGATAGAGAAGGGAGCACCATAATAAAGGTGTTGGGAGGATCCTCCCAAGATGGGAGAAGCATGCTGAAAGTAGACTATAGACCAAACATGACTGCCACTCAATGCCTCTCTTGCAAACCACAACACCCAAAAGGAGAGAGAGAACAAAGGGGAATGCCCTGCCACAGAGGCAGGGTGGGAGGGGGGGATGGGGGGTGGGAGGGATACTGGGACCCGTCGTGGTGGAAAATGGGCACTGGTGGAGGGATGGGTACTTGATCATTGTATAACTGAAACAAAAGCACAAAAATTTGTAAGTCTACAACTGTACCTCATGGTGTTTCACTAATAAAAATTAAAAACAAACAAACAAACAAACACCGTTGGTTGTGATGATGATTAAATCATTTAAAAAAAAATTTTTTTTTTGCTTCTTTTTTGGGTCATACTTGGAGATGCACAGGGGTTACTCCTGGCTCTGCACTCAGGAGTTACTCCTGGCGGTGCTCAGGGGACCATATGGGATGCTGGGAATCGAACCACGTGCAAGGCAAACACCCTACCTGCTGTGCTATCTCTCCAGCCCCCTAAAAAAACTTTTTTAATTGAAAGTTCTTACTGTGAAAAATACTCAAGAAACACTCAAAGAAATTTGAAAGAGAAAATGTAAATAATTACTAAAATGCACTGAATTTTGTGAAATTTATGAACCAATTAAATTCTAATGGATCTAAGGAAGGTAGAAATGAGTGCTATTTTATATCCAAAATTCTACCAAATGAATAATATGAATAGTCATCACGAATATATACAGTAACACAAGGAGCTATCCTTAACTTGCTATTTTGCTTTACCCACAAAAGAAAGTGGCATGCTTTTAAACAGAACTTGTTTTTTTTTCCCATTTGGTAAAAGCGGTTTATTTTACAGTCAGGTACAAAGGTCAATGAAGATCTATATACCACAAACTTCCTATGTAGTGCCTTCTTCTTTACTTCTTGAACCTTTTGGCTTTTTTGTTTGTTTCTGGGTCACACATGGCAGTGCTCAGCTGCTATTCTCAGCTCGGTGCTGGGTAGCGGATAGGTGTGGGTGAAAGTTGAAAGTATGTGCTCATGGTGCTCAGGGGCCAAGGAGCAAACCTAGGCCTCCCACGTGCAATCAGTGGACTCCAACTCACCGAACTGTATCTCCAGTCCCTGCGCTTTTTTTTTTTTTGACATTTTATTTATTGGGCTGGAGCGATAGCACAGGGGGTAGGGCGTTTGCCTTGCATGCAGCCAACATGGCTGACCCGAGTTCGATTCCTCCACCCCTCTCGGAGACCCTGGCAAGCTACCCGTGACGTATTCAAGATGCCAAATACAGTAACAACAAGTCTCACGATGGAGACGCTACTGGGCCCGCTCGAGCAAATTTACTGATTGATTTTGCTTTTTGGGTCACACCCGGCGATGCTCAGGAGTTACTCCTGGCTCAGCACTCAGGATTACTCCTGGCAGTGCTCAGAAAACCTTATGGGATGCCAGAGATTGAACCCGGGTCAGTCTCTTGTAAGGCATACGCCTTCCCTGCTGTAGTCTTCTTGATCCAGCTCCATTCAGTCCATACTCTTGTGTAAAACTCATAAGAAATGTACCTTGTAATTTTTCTACTTTGATTTCCAAGTATGCATCCCAACTCCTGAGTGGTACAATTATCTAAATCTTCCTGACTGAAAACTGACCTCTAACAGCTAACTAAAAGACTTCCGGTGAGGATAAAGAGTCCATCATTGCCAAAAAATCTGGGGAATGTACAAACTGCAAAATCATTCCCATTCAAGCAAATACAATTCAGTTACAAGGTACATACTTACAGTTCGAGCCAAATTTTGGCACATGGCATTGAAGGTTAAGAGCTGTAGTTTAATTTCTGAATCCCATTTTCGACAGTTTTGAATATGTTCATGACTTCCAAGGCAATGATTACTGTTAAAATATAGTAATTGTTAAATAATATAACCTTAAACTACAAATTACATAGGTGAAGGTAAATATAAATTGCATATGCATCAGTAATTGAAGAAAGGTGTAAAATAGATTATTTTAAAAGCTATATGTGAAGGTGATATAGTAAAAAAAAAGCAATAAAGACAAGGCAGTTCTAATCACTTAAGGAGAGTTAAATAGTTAAATACAATAAATTAACTGGTTAAAAAAATTCACATAATGATTATTTGAGACAACTAAAAGGAAACCACAGCTGACTATGCATAGTGCATGTTATCAAAGGAAAAAAATCATCTATAATGCCATCACTAACTTTCCTGAAAAAGTAAAAAAATATGCAATTCACCTATAAGCCACTGCTCACCATTCTTTTCCTTAAGACTACAGGCTTAAAACCAATACCATGCCCCAATTACATCAAAATCCTTCTACTGCCTAACACAATGTTTAACAGGCAGAAAAATATATCAAGTTTGTTGATTCAATAATTAATTCAATCGATACTGAAATGCAATTTTGCACTATAACTTGAAATTTTTTCTGCATAACCAGTAAAGATTAAATTTTCAGTGATGATGCTCAATAGTTAAGTGAACTTACTTCTGCAGCGCTTCCTCTTGACCACAAACTTTCAGAACATAGTCACCAACATCTACTAGATTTAAGTCATCGTGGACCCAGCAAAGGGCTTGCATTATGATGATTTCTACAGTAGAACTCACTGTAAAAGAGTCATCATTTCAACTCTGCTCATTTAACTGTGTATGCATATTCAAATTACATTTATAATCTAAGCATTGAAAAAGCACAATGCAAGTCACAAATGCAGGTAATTTTAAATTTTAAATTAATTTAAAATTTTCTAGTAGGAGGCTGGGAGTGACCTAACAGTGTTAGGTAAGGGACTTGCCTTACACATGGCCAATCTGGGTTCAATCCTTGGCACCACATATGGTCCCCTGAGCACCACCAGGAGTGATCCCTGAGTGCTGAGCTACGAGAAAGCCCTGAGCAATCTCTGGTCAAAAAAAAATTCTAGTAGAGGTTGGAGAAACAATATAAGCAATAAGATGCTTGTTCTGCATATGGCCAACCCTGGTTTGATCTCTAGTACCATATACAGTCCCTTGATAAATGCCCGAAGTGACCATAAAGCCAGTAGTAGTCCCTGAGCACTGCTGGATATGGCCCTCCCCCTCCAGATTTCTTTTCCTAGTCACCTTTGGGAGTGGGAGTGGGGGGCAGAAGGCCTCACCCAGCAGTGCTCAGGAGTTACTCCTGGCTTTGCGCTCAGGAATTACTCCTGGTGGTGCCCAGGGGACCATACAGGATGCTGGAGATAGAACCCAGGTTAGCCCAGTGCAGGGCAAACGCCCTATCTGCTGTACTATAGTTCCGACCCTCCTATTCACCATTTTGAAAAATATTTAAAATTGGGGGGAGGGTAGGTAAAACTAATTTTAGTATCTTATTTATTTCAACATGATTGCTGGGGTATCTTACATTTTTTTTTAAATCTTTAAAGAACAATATTGGGGCTGAACAGACAGAGTGTGTTCTTTGTAAGAGGAAGACCTAGGCTTGATACCCAGATACCCAGTATCTCTGGGTCCACAGAGACAGTCAAGAGTCACTCCCTCGTATTGAGTTAGAAGTCCCTGAGCACTTCTGGTGACCCCAAAACAAAAAATAAAGTTCAGTACATATTTTATACTGAAAGGATATCTCAATCTATGTATCAAATTTCAAGTGCTCAATAGCTACATATGGCTAGTAATAAGTCCTTACTAAACAAAATTATAAAATATGTGATCTCTACCAAATTATAACTAAAAACAAATCACAAGAAAAAAAAAGAATCATCATTGCATTTATCTTGTTTTAGTTTTGGGGTGACACTCAGTGGTTCTCAGTGCTACACTCAGTGATCATTCCTGCTGAGGCTCAGGGGACCATATGGGGTGCCAGAGATTGAACTCAAGTCAGCTGCGTGCCCTGCCCACTGAACTACCCCTCTGGTCACTGAGACATATATATATATATGTTTTATTATTCTTACTGCATACTGTAAACAATTATCCAAACATAATAGCGAAGGAACCCTGGCTCTCTGGTGGTAGGCATGGCACAGCCAACACCAAAAGTATGAAACAAGAATACTGGAACTACTGTAAAATACAGTAATAGCACTGTAGCACTGTCCTCCCGTTGTTCATCGATTTGCTCGAGCGGGCCCAATAACGTCTCCATTGCGAGACTTCTTGTTACTGTATATGGCATATCGAGTATGTCACAGGTAGCTTGCCAGGCTTGGCCGTGCAGGCAAGATACTCTCAGTTGCTTGCCGGGCTCTCTGAGAGGGGCAGAGGAATCCAACCTGGCTCAGCAGGGCAAATGCCCTACTGCTGTGCTATCGCTCCAGCCCAGTAATAGCACAAAATAAATAAACGAATCCCCCAAACCCAAAACTTAGATTTAAAAATAATATACCTTCCAGACCTGGTTAACAATTTTATTTCACATTTTCTATTTTTTTTTTAAAAGACCCTGAAAAGTGCAAATACATAAAGAAAGCATCCTAATTTTGTACATATTCTTAGCTATGCTAAAGGAAAAGGTAGGCTATTCTGGGGATAAAGATAGGAACACAGGTTTCTCTTTTTGGGGGTGGGCAGTGAGAGGCGGTCCACTGAAGGTGCTCAGGCATCACCTAGCAGGGCTCAGGGGACCATATCGGATGCTGGGAATCAATCTGGGTTGGTCATATACAAGGTAAGTAATTGTCTACACACTACACTATCTCTCTAGCTCCAGTACAGGTTCTAAGTTTACTACTGAAATGCCATTAAAATAATACACATTATATAAAACAATAAACTCTGAAAGAAAATACAAGTAATTTTTTAAAAAAATTCTCCATAGACTGGGGCTGGAACAATAGCACAGTGGGTAGGGCGTTTGCCTTGCACGCGGCCGACCCAGGTTCGATTCCCAGCATCCCGTATGGTCCCCCAAGCACCGCCAGGAGTAATTCCTGAGTACATGATTCCAGGAGTAACCCCTGTGCAAAGCCGGGTGTGACCCAAAAAACAAACAAAAAAAAATTCTCCATAGACTGGCAGGGCATATCTCTTAAAAAAATGCCTCAAATTTAGAATGAATAGCAGGAAATAAACAAGAATAATCTTTCTCCTTAGCAGAGCTTAGGAAAATAGGTAAATTTTTAATTTCATTGATACTTCTTTATGGGTTGGAGAAATAGCACAGCAGTTAGGGAGTTTTGCCTTGCATGTGGCCGACCCGGGTTCAATTCCTCCACCCCTCTTGGAGAGACAGGCAAGCTACCAAGAGTATCTTGCCCGCACGCAGAGCCTGGCAAGCTAAACCCGTGGCGTATTCAATATGCCAAAACCAGTAACAACAAATCTCACAATGGAGACGTTACTGGTACCCACTTGAGCAAATCTATGAACAATGGGAGGACAGTGCTACAGTGCTACAGTTCTTTATAAACATTCTCTTTGAAATAAGATGGGGGAGGGGGGAGAATTGAACTATAATTAGCTTTTCTAGCTAATGAGTTGAGGTTTTTGGCTAGGAATCACTAAATTAACCAAAATTACTCAGCATCTTTCAGAGAAATATGTAGTTATAAATAACAACAACAACAACAACAACAAAAACAGCAAACCCTGGCTCTGCATTCAGGAATCTCACACACACACACACACACACACACACACACATACACACACACACACTCACGTAGACCTAATGATAACAGGTGATTTATTAAAAGAATACAAATATTTTAAACATTTTCTCCCTGATCAGCGCTAAGTAAGATGTTTTAGAAATACAAACCTACCATCACATGTGAAAGTAACTGGCAGTTGAAACCCTTCAATTTCAATGGAGACCTTCACGCTAGCATTCTCTCCGCATACATTTCTTTGCACTGTGACAGGGCTTAACAAGTAGCCTGGGTTTGTGTGGCGGTTGGTATATGGAAAGTTGGTTTTCAATCTGTTCACAGGAAAAAAGAAACTCAGTTTTTTTAAACTGCATTTAGAAGTCCAAAACTAGGCTTTGCATACTTATAGTTATTCAATTCTACTCCTTTGTCCAATTCTAAAGCAGCTCGTGAGAACTGAAATGAATGAACCTTGTCAAGATGCCAAATACCAGAATTTGCCTTTTAAATAAAAGGAATCCAAGGAAAGAGATTAAGTACTGCCAGAATATCTTGGGTAACATTTCAACACATTAGCTACATGGAATTAAATGTGATTCTCAGCTTCAGATTCTTTTGTTACACAAACTCTGTTGCAAAACTCATTTTTAATTATTGATAATACAGGCTATATAATCCTAAAACTTAGAATTTCTAAAAGGAGAAAAAGTTTTGTTTTTAAAACATCTTTTTCTAAGGTCCTTTTTCTTATAACTCTTCCTACACAATGAGACCTTTCACACAAATGGTGCTATAAGGCCTTTATTCTCTCAAACTGATTTATAAATTTAGGGAATGTTAAGAATTGTGTGAGAAGGTATTCAGAGCATTTATGAGAGCAATGCAGTTTAAATTTAAAAACTTGATAAGGTATGGCAAGTCTCCAAACAGCACAAGTTATCAGAAGACAAGAGAGGATATGATACCAATTTTATTTATTTATTTATTTATTTATTGCTTTTTGGGTCACACCCGGCGATGCTCAGGAGTTACTCCTGGCTTTGCACTCAGGAATTATTCCTGGTGGTGCTTGGGAGACCATATGGGATGCTGGGAATCGAACACGGGTTGGCTGCATGCAAGGCAAACGGCCTACCCGCTGTGCTATTGCTCAGCCCTTGATACCAATTTTAAACTTATAGACTTCCTTAAACTGACATTTTCTAGAGAGTGAAAACAAGTACCCAATCCTATTTTCTTTCAAAGGGCTCTGAGTGGATTAACTGCTGAAGTATTGTACAGTTGTTTCTATTGATTAAAACAATCAAAGTCACAGGAGTAACAGGAAATAGTCTGAGTTGACAGGAAGAATGCAGAGGCAACAAGTGTAATTCTCTGCACACAATCTCTAGACCCTGATCACTTCTATCACTTAGTTAGAGTCCTTTTGTCTTCCAAGTTAGCCTGTGTGAGAGCAACAGTGATTCAAGTCTTCCTGTGGACAAGACAACACAATCTCATCTTCTTGTTGATAACACAGTAGGAAACCACCATCTTCCAACACAGGGCAGGTAGAAAAACAACTACCTCGATGAGGTCCATGTCCTATGCAATCAGCACTAGTTAAGTCCTCTTGTTCACCAGAGAAGTGACTGTGTTGACCCTGTTTTGCAGGACAGGCATCCTCTCAGTGGGGACATCCCTTTCGCCAGGAGGCTTTATTGCTGCAACAGTCTCTGTTTCTTCTTTTTCTTGAGTCTGTACTTGTGCACCGGCTTGAGTAGCCGCATAGCCATCTGGCAGTCCAGCACCTGCATGAACTGGCTGATAGGGATTTTGGAGGTATAGGGGTAAGGGTGGGGGTGGGCCTGGGAGTCACTAGTACAAAATGCAGAGCCAATTTCTTTCAAAGGACATCTAATCTCAGTTTCCAAATTCACAGAGAAACAAAAGATGTTCCTAGAATATGACTTCGAAAATACCTGTACGTTTCACTACTCTAGTCATTGTTATAATTATACTTTATTAATAAAAACAGAAATAACATTCTGTTTCAATCCACGTGGGGTTTCATGTAACATAAATCATTGTGTGAGTATGATTGTGTGTGTAACTAAAAACAGTAATTTTAGAGCACAAGAAAGATAGTGCAGGAATTAAGGAGCTTGCCTTGCACAAAGCCTACCCAGTGTGACTCTCCAGCACAGCAGATGGTCCCTAGAGCACTACCAGGAGCAAGGTCTGAAAAGGATCAGGAATGATCCCTGAGCACAGCACCAAGAGTAGCCCTGAACACCACCAAATATAAACCAAAAGCAAAATAATAGTAGTAGTAATAATAATGATAATAAATTTAGCTTCATGGCAGAATTTGTATAAACAGTTCCAAAATTCAAAAGTCCTAACATTCAAATTGAGGAAAAGGCAGATCCCAGATGGCTAAGTTTAAATGCAACAGTGAAAGAGAAAGCAAACACTTCTCTGGGAAGGAGAAAAATCAAAAAACTAGATACAACACATAATAGGTTACTTTGAAATGATCAGGAGGGACAGAGAGAGTGCAGAGCATAAGGTACTTGGCTTTGCACACAGCTAACCTGAGTTGAATTCCTGGAATCAGTGTGATTGCTGAGTATAGAGTCAGGAGCAAATCCAGAGAACAACTAGATGTGACCCAAAATCAAACCAAAAAATCTAATTAAATATTAAGCTCTTCAGCACGGAAATGATGGATATCCTCCAAAAATGATCTGCTTTGGGACTGGATAGTTCAAGAGCGTATGCTTTGCATTCCTGGCACTGCATATGATGTTCTAAGCACCACTAAGAAAACTCTCGAGCATAGATTCTGGAGTACCTCCTGAGTACCGCCAGGTATGGCCCAAAATTTTACAAAAAAAGAGCAAAAAATCTATTTCACTTAAGGTAGACCAAACTAGAGAAAATGCTAGACTCAGAATAAACCCCTACTCATGACACACTTTCCCTTATTTTACTAACATATTTCAAGCTCTGATGACACAATTTGTTGTTTCAACTATTTCCTACTGCAAGATTTTTTACATCTGAAAGGATATTTTTCCTCTCTGCCAGCAAGAGATAAAATGAATTCTTTGGAATGATAGTACAGTGGGTAAGGTGTTTGCCAGGTTCAATGGCCAACCCAGGTTCAATCCCTGGCATCCCATATGGTCCCTCCAGCACCACCACAATTAATTTCTTACTGCAAAGCCAGGAGTAAGCCCCGAGCATTGCAGGGTGTGACCCAAAACCCATCCTACAACCAGCCCCCCCCAAGAAAAAAGGAAAGAAAATGAATTCTTACAGCGAAATAAATAATGCAGCAAGTAAGGCACTTGCCTTTTTGCCTTGCACATGGCTGACTCAGGTTGAACTCCAGAACCATATATGACCCCCTGAGCCATGCTAGGAGTGATCTCTGGGCACAGAGCCAAAATTAAGGCCTGAATACCCAAACCCAGCCACCCCAAATAAACATAAACAACAAAAACAGAAGGGGCGAGAGATAGTACAGCGGGTAGGGCACTGGCCTCGCACACCGCCAACCTGGTTCAATCCTCGGTGTCATATATGATCCCTTGAGCTCCCCCCCACCACCACCCAGGAGTGATACCTGCGCAAAACCAGGATGAGTAAATCCTGGGCACTGCCAACTATGGTGCAAAATGAATACATGCACCACATATGATCTCCCGAGCACGGCCAGGCCTGATTCCCTGAGCATAGAGACAAGAGTGAATCCTAAGCACACTGCGTTTATTGTTTTAAAACAAAAACAAAAACAAAACCCAAGAGACCTGTCTGCAGTCAAAGAAAATGAAACAAATATGCATGAAGACAGGTAAGCAAAGGAAATGAAAAACAAATCTGTAGGGATAGATAAATTATAGGGAACATAATCTTCAATACTGCTATCAGTGAGGTCGTCCCCATTCTTCCTATTATGTGAGTTTTATGAAACAATAAGAATTAACAGATTTAAGATTGATTTTAAGAACTCAAAATAGTCCTGATATAGCATATAATGGAAAGAAAATACACTGAATCAGAGGCAAAGAAGATTTGTCTCTGCTACTAACTAGTTGAGAAAACTTTGGTATGTTACTGTTGCTCATCTATAAATAATATTAAACAGATACATAGATCATATTTTTGTCTATTAGAAGTCTTTAGTACAACCTCAATTTTTTTTTCCTTTAAGTACTCAGAAACTTAACAGGTTCAAGTCAAGCAGTTTGAGTTAACATCCAATTAACTAACTCAAAATTTTAGTCAGAGGAAATAATTAAAATCTAAAATATTTTAGAATTATTAACGCTAAGTAGGTATTCATATTAACTTTTCCCAAAAAAGTACTTAATTAAAAAAAAAACTTTATAAAGAAAACTTTCTTACTCTGTAATGGACTGACAAAAAGCTGTAACCTCTCCATTCTGTACTTCAATTTCTCGTCGACAAGATCTTCCAGTCAGCAAATTACTGGTCCCATTTGGATCTTTCTGTAATCATAAAAGTATTATTTTTAAAAAGAAGATACCCAAACTGTGTTCAAGCAACATAACACAAGTGCGGTTTTTGTTTGTGTTTTTTGTTTTGTTTCTCTTCCCTTTGTTGTGGAACTTCAGTAACTACCTATGAGTGTATGAAAGATGCTCTATCACTAAGTCACATCCATGGACTCACAAATACACTTAAACTATATATATAAACTATACACATATACACATACACAAATATGTATGTATATGTATATATACACACACAGACATAAATATAATAAAAATATATATGGGAGTTTCTGCTTGCTACTTCCCTCAGACAAGTGATATTTGTCCTGGGCTGACATCACTGGGTCTACCTCCCTACTGGGAGGGTCTCAGCGGCCTCACACCCAATCCTGCACCATATTAATGCCCATACCACAGCTCTTAAAATCTACTCAACAAATTACACACTACTCACAGTTATGCTTTTGGTCATTCTGTAAGGACGGACAGAGAAGAAAGCAAGTAACCTTCAGCCTAAATCATCAGCATCTTCCAAGGGGATTAATTACGAAGACACACCACCAACACAGCAAGAACACTAAAAACACCAACGGGAAAACACACAGAAGCCTACCAAGTTCAGTAAGCGAAGAAAGTATCACCAGGACATAAATAACATGAACAGCCTCCATAAATCCTCAGATAACGTCTTTAGTGAATTCTCACCATGATGGATGACCAGTGAGCTCAAAGAAATGATAGCACGGGTAGTTAGCAAAGTACAAGAAAGTATAAGAATCAAAATGAAAAAAGTACAATCATAAATAAAGAGCATGTTAGGTGGTCTGAATAGCAGAAGAATAGCAGCTGAGCAAAAGATCAAGGGTCTCCAAGACAAGAAGGAGGAAAAACCACTAGGAAATAGCAGAAGGTGGGAAATTGTCTGAAAAGAAATGAACAGATACGAGAGAACTATGGGATGAGTTCAAGAGGATCAGCATAAGTATCATCAGGATACCTGAGGAACAGGAAGACAAATGTGAGGAAGAAAAATATTTAAAGAAACCATAGACAGAAATTTTCTACACTTAAATATTACAGGCACTGAGATCTAAGAGGCCTGCAAGGTCCCAGCAAAAATAGAGCCAACGACGAAAACTCCAAAACTCACTGCACTCAAAATAAAAAATGCCAAAGGTAGAGATAGAATACCAGAAACAGCAAGATCAGAAAAGGAAAGCCCATAAAACGTACAACAGACCTATCAAATGAGGATCTACGAGCCAGAAGAGCATGGAAGGAACAAACTGCACATCTCACCAAGAATACTCTGTCCAGCTAGATTATCATTAAGAGTTGAAGAAACTATACAGAACTTTGTGGACAGGCAACAAATTAGGGCATTTAGAGCCTTGAAACCATTTTGAACCTTGAAACTGATAAAAGAGCTCTTTTAAAGGATAGGAGAAACTTCCCAACACGTGGCACTGAGTATGGCACTCACTAATGGTGCATATGGTTGTCCTCTACGAGATTAAGAAAGGTTAAGAACATAGTAATCAATCATCACAAATTATCTACACACACAAGCATACTCTCACAACTAAGACACAGATGGAAAAAATCTCCAGACCCACATATGTATGTAATAATAAGCACTAAGGTATAGCGGGAAGGAAACAGATCAGTAACAAAATCTTAAATTACAGATTTCTCTTTTTGTAAAAGTAATACAAACTAAACCGTATTTCACAGCCCTTCAGTTTCACTTGCTCAGAAGGAGAAACTAGCTTGGGAACACAGCTAAAGAGTAGAATGCATGCTCTCCAAGTATGAGGCCTGGATTCTATCCCTCACACCACCACTAATAACGGGGGGAAAAAATTGAGGAGATAGCTTAAACAGCTGGAGTACATGCTCTGCATGCAGGAGTTCCAGGTTCAATCCACAGCAACCCATGTCTTCATGGGCAACACTGGTAATGTGTCTCAAATACTGCTGAATGTGGCACTGTAGCACTGTCCTTCCTTGTTCATCAATTTGCTCAAGCGGGCACCAGTAACGTCTCCATTGTGAGACTTGTTACTATTTTTGGGATATCGAATACGCCACGGGGAGCTTGCCATGCTCTGCCGTGCAGGTGGGATACTCTCGGTAGCTTGCTGGGCTCTCCGAGAGGGGCGGAGGAATTGAACTCGGGTTGGCTGCGTGCAAGGCAAACGCCCTATCTGCTATGCTATCGCTCTGGCCCGGGTGTGGCACAAACACAAAAAATATGTAGGATAACAAGTTGCCATAGTGATGCCTCCAGACCCTGGGCTGTTTCATCCGGGGCTACCTGGAGGGGTCAGGGTCGGGTGAGCTCCCCTCCCTGCCCCAACACAGCACCAGCAGCCAAAAATCTCCAGAACTGCTTACAGCTGCTCTCTCCACACACTCAGACAAGCCTCACCCATAAGTCAAGAGTCAATCTATTCTTTGACATCTCATACTTTACACCAAGATATACCAAAGAATAGCATACCACATTGGATGGGGTTCAAAGTAGAAGGCAATCAATCAGGGAAAAATATATCTATACAGATACACACACACACACACACACAAGGCTCAACCTTTAACAACATGTTACTAATGTCTTGCAGAAGGGCTTAATGGCTCCGGGGTGAAATACCATAATCTTCACACACTTCCCTCTAAAAAAACTTTTCTGGATTAGCGAATTACTCATAACAAGCAATACAAAATAAATCACTTCGGTTCTGCTTTGGGGGCAGGAGTTGAGGTTTGGGATGGAAACATTTGAAATATGGTGGTGGAAAAGTATAATGGTGGTGGGACTGGTGTTTGAATATTAAATGTAATCAATTACTGTGAAGAACTTTATAAAAATAAAATAAAATTTTAAAAAATGCGTAGAAACAGACTACACTTTATATTGGTTATTAAGAAAGGGATACATTCTAAGACATTTCCTCAAAATCTTCAGAAAGTTGGGGTCCACGAGGTGGTATAGTGGGAAGGTGCTTTGTCTTGCTCATATGAGGCCAACATGGGTACAATTTCTGGCACTGCATAAAGTGGTCCTGTGAGTATCAAGTAAACCTTGAGCACATCTGAGAGTGTCCCCTGCCACCAAAATAAATCACACATTAAAAAGCTAAGAAATGAAAATAAGGAAGTAACCGAAATTTTGAGAAAATGAAAAGAGTACATCTTAAAAGTTCAGATAGTACAGGAGTTAAGACACTTCTTGCATGCAGCCACCCTGATTTCCATCCCTGGCACTCAGAACAATGCTAGGAATAGTATCCGAGCATAGAGCCAAAACAAATAAAGAACTAGTAAGCTTATTCTGGAAATAATTTATATATGCTTTATATACACATAAATATAATTATTTAATAATAATTATAATTATTTAATAATAATATATAAATGTAATTATATTTTGATACAACCACACCTAAAATGAACACAATGTCTTATGTCAATTATCTCTCAAAACAAAACAAAACCCCTTGACTCAACAGTAACTGTAACTGGCATGGGAGTAGAGGGGAGGCATAGAGAAAATATAAAGATATAAAGATCAAGACCATCTGGGACTTCTCTAAAGAGCCAGGAATTTTATATATTCAGCTTGGGCCCCAATTCCAAGAAAGCAGCTGGTTCCTTACATAAGAGAATGACTTTAAGGAGTTAGGATTTTTTCCCCTACATTAATAAACTAATACAAGTATCCTAAGAGTCCTTCAAAAGTAGGTCTCTATCTGGTCAGATTTTGTTTACAGCATTTTGGAGAATAAATTCACTGCCCAAGCAGAGCCAAACAAAGAGCTTATTCAGATGTGTTTTCAATTATAATTTAATAGGTAAAAACTCTTGACAGGCACAAATCTCAAATTTTAATTTCCTTTAAATTAATTGAAACATTTTCAATTCAAAAATTAAGTGAATGAGAACACAGTATACAGATTTTAAGAGCTATAACTAGTTCAATGTCTATGGACAAAAGATTCTGTCAGAAAATTAAACTGAAACTACTGGGCAACAATTCCCTTATGAATTTCTGTCTTTTAAACCTAGACAGAATCCATTCTACGTGAATACACAATGAGACAATCGTGGAGGGACAAAATGGGAGATTTGATCTGAATTCTATAAAATCACAGCTTAAAATAAAAATAAGAAAGCGTGCAGAAATATTAAGTTTAGGCAGACCACTCAAAATCATTATCTGTATCATTAAAGTCCTAACACTCCAAATAAAACTCCTTATAAAAGTATAAGAATAGGGCCAGGCGAGAAAGCTCAATGAACTAGAGTTGTTAACCTGCATGCTGGGTGCCCAGGATGGTCCCTGGCATCACTGGGAGTGATCCCTGGGCCACAAGCAGGTCCCCAAACACCATTGAATGTGACCCAAAAAAACAGTATAATAGTTATTATTATTATTATCATTATAAGTAAAAGCATAGTTAAATCTCCATTCCAAGTCTGCACCTAGCATCAAAGGACTTCCTCCTCACTTGAGGTAGAGATTCCCCCACCCCCCTTTTTTTTTTGAAACATACCCAGTGGTTCTAAGGGGCTATTCCTGGCTCTGTGCTCAGGGGACCATATGTGGTGCCAGATATTGAACTAACATTGGCTGCATTCAAGGAAAATCCCTTAACCACTATACCAGTTCTCCAGCTCCTGAATACATATTCTTGAGGGCATTTGCTTCTGGTTAAGAGCAATTTCAAAGAAGTTAAAAATACGGAACAGGATGCAGATACCAAATAAAAGTTTTAACACAAATGGTTATGTCTTTACAGTTTCTCCATCTGCACTCACTGCTTCCCACTTAATACTGTAGGAATGCGGAACCACTCAAAGTTATTCAACCAACTATAATTTTCACTGAAAAGGGTTATCTCTTCCACAGGATTTTTAGTGTTTTCCTTAATATCTTGTTATATTGACTAGCACCTTAAAATGTCAGTAAGCTAGAAGACTGCTTCAAT